CTAGGAGGAAGGGTTGAGTGATACAAAAGGTAATAGCTGTGGGGGAGGAGCTGATGGAGAAATAAATGGCAGTTTACTAAGCAGAAGCAGGATAGGCTTCTTTAAAGAGAAAGGTTTTCAGGGATCTTCTAAAGGTGGATAGATTAGGAGACAGCTGGACAGATTGGGGTAGGGAGTTCCATAGGATGGGAGAAGCTCGGTAGAAGTCCTGGAGGTGAGCATGGGAGGAAGTGACATGGGAAACTAGAGAGCAGAAGGTCTTGGGAGGATTGAAGAGGGCGGTTTGGTTGATATTTTGAGACCAGGTTGGTGATGTAGCTGGGGGAAGAGTTGTGGATGGCTTTATAAGTTGTTGTTGCTAGTATTTTGAATTTTATTCGTTGGATGAGTGGAGGCCAGTGTAGGGATTGGCAGAGAGGGGTGGAGGACACTGAATGGAAGCTAGTGTAGGGATTGGCAGAGAGGGGTGGAGGACACTGAATGGAGGCCAGTGTAGAGATTGGCAGAGAGGGGTGGAGGACACTGAGTAGAGGCCAGTGGAGGGATTGGCAGAGAGGGGTGGAGGACACTGAGCGGAGGCCAGTGGAGGGATTGGCAGAGAGGGGTGGAGGACACTGAATGGAGGCCAGTGGAGGGATTGGCAGAGAGGGATGGAGGACACTGAATGGAGGCCAGTGGAGGGATTGGCAGAGAGGGGTGGAGGACAATGAGTGGAAGTCAATGGAGGGATTGGCAGAGAGGGATGGAGGACACTGAGTGGAGGACAGTGAAGGGATTGGCAGAGAGGGGTGGAGGACACTGAGTAGAGGCCAGTGGAGGGATTGGCAGAGAGGGATGGAGGACACTGAGTGGAGGCCAGTGGAGGGATTGGCAGAGAGGGATGGAGGACACTGAGTGGAGGCCAGTGAAGGGATTGGCAGAGAGGGATGGAGGACACTGAGTGGAGGCCAGTGGAGAAATTGGCAGAGAGGGGTGGAGGACACTGAGTGGAGGCCAGTGGAGGGATTGGCAGAGAGGGATGGAGGACACTGAGTGGAGGCCAGTGGAGAAATTGGCAGAGAGGGGTGGAGGACACTGAGTGGAGGCCAGTGGAGGGATTGGCAGAGAGGGATGGAGGACACTGAGTGGAAGCCAATGGAGGGATTGGCAGAGAGGGATGGAGGACACTGAGTGGAGGACAGTGAAGGGATTGGCAGAGGGGAGGAGGACACTGAGTGGAGGCCAGTGGAGGGATTGGCAGAGAGGGGTGGAGGACACTGAGTGGAGGCCAGTGGAGGGATTGGCAGAGAGGGGTGGAGGACACTGAGTGGAGGCCAGTGGAGGGATTGGCAGAGAGGGGTGGAGGACACTGAGTGGAGGCCAGTGGAGGGATTGGCAGAGAGGGATGGAGGACACTGAGTGGAAGCCAATGGAGGGATTGGCAGAGAGGGATGGAGGACACTGAGTGGAGGACAGTGAAGGGATTGGCAGAGAGGGGAGGAGGACACTGAGTGGAGGCCAGTGGAGGGATTGGCAGAGAGGGGTAGCAGACACTGAGCGGTTGGTAAGGTGGATGAGCCTGGCAGCAGTATTCATGGTAGACTGGAGGGGGGATAGCTTATGTAAAGGTAAGCCAATGAGAATACCAAAAGGTATATGCACATCTGTGGGGCCTCCACATGTAAGTAGGGTGTTATATCCTTTTACTAGAGGCAGCGCAGCAACATTTATGTTTGTACTATTTAGATTTACTTTGTATAAAAGATTTCTACATTTTTACTAAAATTACACCTAAAATGTATAGATTTTTGCTCCTCAGCACTATGCCCAATGCTAAGGAAACGTTATTCTCCCTTCCATTTTGACAGATAGGATAGGAGGGTGCCGCTCTGCGTGCTTCTAGATGTTGGACAATGCTGTCACTGACTGCTCCTGATCACTATTGATCGTGTGATTACTGTGTCAGCTATGATGTAGGGATCACATGGCTTTTTCAGTAAACAGCTGTCACTATGAGCTCCAGATCCCCATTACTTATGTGATCACCATGTCTGCTATGATGTAGGGATCACATGGCTTAGTTAGTAAATAATTGTCACTAACAGTTGTCACATAATGCTGGAATATTCTGCAGAGATGAAATTAAACAGCCAGGGAAAGTTTTCAGCAGAACGTGATTCCATTGTCAGACATGGTGAACAGCACCCCACTGACCTCAGAACAGTTCATTTCAGGCTTCCCTGGCTCTTCGCTGTTCCATGTGAATTGGTGGCACGTGGCACATGGAAATGAGAATTCTGTGTTATGATAAAAAAAAGGAGCGCCGTCTTGGCATGAATTGTGTCTAAATATGTCTGCAGGTCGGTCATTAATGTTAGCCTAGTGTCCTAGCAGCCAAGAGATTCTATACAGTCCTCTCCTCTGCTACCACCAACACTTATTATCTGACAGAGAAAGAGCGAGAGAAGAATAAAAGGGAGAGGAGCTGAGCAGAGAGGAGCCGAGAGAGAGCGAGAGAAGAATAAAAGGGAGAGGAGCCGAGCAGAGAGGAGCCGAGAGAGAGCGAGAGAAGAATAAAAGGGAGAGGAGCTGAGCAGAGAGGAGCCGAGAGAGAGCGAGAGAAGAATAAAAGGGAGAGGAGCTGAGCAGAGAGGAGCCGAGAGAGAGCGAGAGAAGAATAAAAGGGAGAGGAGCGAGCAGAGAGGAGCCAAGAGAGAGCGAGAGACGAATAAAAGGGAGAGGAGCCGAGAGAGAGAAAAAAAAAAAAAGGGAGAGGAGCCAAGAAGAAAAGAGAGAGAAAAAATAAAAGGGAGAGGAGCCGAGCATAGAGGAGCCGCGAGACAGAGAGAGAGAAAAAAAAAATAAAAGGGAGAGGAGCAGAGCGGAGAGGAGCCGAGAGAGAGAGAGGAAAAAAAAAGAGAGGGGCAGAGCAGAGGAGAGCCGCGAGACAGAGAAAGAGAGAAAAAAAATAAAAGGGAGAGGGGCAGAGCAGAGGAGAGCTGTGAGACAGAGAAGAGAGAGAAAAAAAAATAAAAGGGAGAGGAGCAGAGCGGAGAGGAGGGAGAGAGAGAGAGAGAGGAAAAAAAAAAAAGAGAGGGCAGAGCAGAGGAGAGCCGCGAGACAGAGAAAGAGAGAAAAAACTAAAAGGGAGAGGGGCAGAGCAGAGGAGAGCCGCCAGACAGAGAAAGAGAGAAAAAAATAAAAGGGAGAGAGGGGCAGAGCAGAGAGGAACCGAGAGACAGAGAAAAATAAAAGGGAGAGGGGCACAGCAAAGTGGAGCTGACAGAGAGAGAAATAAAAATGAGAGAGGCAGAGCAGAGAGAGGAGCCGAGAGAAAGAAAAGGAAGAGGGGCAGAGAAAAAGAGAAAAAGAAAAAGGAGAGGGGCAGTGAGAGAGGGAAAAGTATAAGGGAGATGGGCAGAGCAAAGAGTAGTCAAGAGAAAGAGAGGGGGAGAGAAAAAAAAAAAATAAAAGGGAGAGGGACTGAGAGAAAAGAGAGAGAAAAAGGAGAGGGGCAGAGAGAGGGAAAAATAAAAAGGGAGATGGGCAGAGCAAAGAGGAGCCAAGAGAAAGAGAGGGAGAGATACAAATTAAAGGGAGAGGTGCAGAGCAGAGAGGAGCCAAAAGAAAGAGATTTAAAAAGTAAAGGGAAAGGGGCCGAGCAGAGAGGAGCTGAGAGAAAGAGAAGAAGAGAAAAAAAAAGGGAAGGGGCAGAGTAGAGAGGAGCCGACAGAAAGAGAAGAAGAGAAAAAGAAAAGAGAGGGGGGCCGAGCAGAGAGGAGCCAAGAGAAAGAAAGAAAAAAATAAAAGGGAGAGGGGCCGAAAAGAGAGGAGCTGAGAGAAGAGAGAAAGAAGAAAAAAAGAAAGGGAGGGGGGCAGAGCAGAGAAGAGCCAAGCGGAAGAGAGAGAAAAAGGAGAGGGGCAGAGTGGAGAGGAGCTGAAAGAAAGAGAGAAAAAAAATAAAAGGGAGAGAGGCAGAGCAGAGAGGAGCTGAGAGAAAAAGAGAGAGAAAAAAATAAAAGACAGATGAGCTGAAAGGAGCTGAGAGAGAGAGAGATAAACAAAGAAAAGGAAGAGGGCAAGAAGAGGCTTAGTTCTCCACTCCTACAGAAAAGGAACAAATAAATGAAAAGGGAGAGGGACTCAGAGAAAGAGACAGAGAGAAAAAAAAAAAAAAAGAGGGGCAGAGAGAGAAAAAAAAAAAAGAATGGGCAGAGCAAGGAGGAGCCAAGAGAAAGAGAGGGAGAAGAAAAAAGGAAAGGGAGAGGGGGGAGCAGAGAGAGAGGCAGAGAGAAAGAGAGGAGAAAGAGACAGAGAGAAAAAGAAAAAGGAGAGGGGCAGAGAGAGGGAGAAAGTGACAGAGAGAAAGAAAAAGGAGAGGGGCAGAGAGAGGGAGAAAGTGACAGAGAGAAAGAAAAAGGAGAGGGGCAGAGAGAGGGAGAAAGTGACAGAGAGAAAGAAAAAGGAGAGGGGCAGAGAGAGTGAAAAATAAAAAGGGAAATGTGCAGAGCAAAGAGGAGCCAAGAGAAAGAGAGGGAGAAAAAGGAGAGGGACAGAGAGAGGGAAAAATAAAAAGGGAAATGGGCAGAGCAAAGAGGAGCCAAGAGAAAAAGAAAGAGAAGAAGAGAAAAAGAAAATGGGAGAGGGGCAGAGCAGAGAGGAGCCGCGAGAAAGAAAAAAAAAAATAAAAGGGAGCGGAGCCGAGCAGAGAGGGATCTGAAAGCAAGAGAAGAGAAAAAAAGAAAAGGAGAGGGGCAGAGCAGAGAGGAGCCAAGCAAGGTAGTGAGAAAAAGGAGAGGGGCAGAGTGGAGAGGAGCCAAGAGAAAGACAGAGAGAGAGAGAGAAAAATAAAAAGAGAGAGGAGCTGAGAGAGAGAGATAAACAGAGAAAAGGCAGAGGGCAAGAAGAGGCTTATGTCCTCCACTTCTACAGGAAAGGAACAACTGAATAGAAATGTACCCGCTTTGATTGCTGTGATATCAAACATCCTAACCGTTTGTCCTTCTGTATTGTGTCCTCAGGCGGAACTAAATGACAACCTGCACTATATCATCCCGTTACTGCACACGCTGATGTACGCCATCACAAAGGTAGGTTCTGAGAGAGTCAATAAATGTATATACAGACATTGGCACTTAATGTGTATTGTTTTTGTATGTTTTTACCCCTGACAGATTTATGTTAACCTCTTGCCGCCCCGCCCACCATGATTGTACTGCAGGATGGGGGGGCAGCTCCAGACCAGGTGGTGTACATGTACATCACAGCCCTTTTCCCAGATTTGGGGCACACGTACGCACGCCCCCCCCCTGACCTATGCTGTGACTGAACACAGCACGAGTTTGACAGCTGATTTCAGCCAATGAGTTTGGCTGATGTCAGCTGATCGGCTACGGCCAATCAAACAGTTTTGCATAGGGAATAGCAATCTGGCTGTTTGTTCTCCCTGCGAAGAAGGGAGAAGAAACAGACAGATGATAAAGTAAAATCCGCATATATGACACACTTTACACATTGTTAGGTACACAATTAACCATTTGGTTGCCCCTAGATGTCAACCCCTTCCCAGCCATTGTCATTAGTACAATGTACAGTATTAGCACTGATCACTGTATTAGTGTCACTATTGATGTCAGTGTCAATTAGTGACCTTCCCAGCCAGCACCAGCTAGCACCAGGCTGCCCACCACCCTATGACAGTCCCACTATAAGTCACTGATTACTGCCATTACAGTATAGCGTCTAGAGCTGCGTAAATTATATATCCCATAGTTTGTAGACACAATAACTTTCACGCAAAACAATTTATATACACATATTGGGATTTTTTATTTACCAAAGACGTGTAGCAGAACACATTTTGGCCTAAATATTAAAGAATTTTTTTTTCTATTGGATATGCTTTATAACAGAAAGTAGAAAATACTCTTTTTTCGTTAATATCGCAAAAAAATAAAAACAACAGTGGTGAGCAAATACCAACAAAAGAAATCAATATTTGTGTGAAAACAAATGATATAAATGTAATTTGGGTACAGCGTGGCATGACTGCACAATTTCCAGTTAAAGAAACGATGTGCTGGATAGCAAAAAAATGGCTTGGTCACGAAGGGGGTAAAACCTTCCGGAGGTCATGTCGTTAAAGCTGAAGTTTGTTCGGCTTTCCCTGATTTTTCAGAACCCCTCTTATAACATGCTAATGACATTTTTAGTGTAGAGTGTCACACTACATTCCAGTCTGTGCAGCCGCTGCGTTCCAACTGACATGAATGGGACTGCCTGCATGTGGATGCAGAGAACACCTGTGCATCCTCGTACAGGTAAACACAGCCCTCGCCCGGGCGTAATAATAAAAAATAATATTGCCATTTTTTTGCATGTAAAAAACTGCATTTATTATTTTTGTCTACAGGAGCCTGGAAAGCATTGCACTATTAGTATATCGCTGACACCATGCAGGTCTCTTGCAGGCCTCTCAGAATATCTGCTTGCCGTATGGAATGTACGGGATGTACAGAGTGCAGGACGTATGGGGTGTGCAAGGTGTACGGGATGTATGGGGTGTATGGGGTGTACGGGGTGTGCGGGATGTATGGAATTTACAGGATGTATGGGGTGTGTGGGATGTATGGGGTGTGCAGAATGTACAGGATGTATGGGGTGTGCAGAATGTACAGGATGTATGGGGTGTACGGGATGTACAGAATGTATGGGATGTACGGGGGGGTGTGTGGAATGTACAGGGTGTGCGGAATGTACGGGGTGTGCGGGATGTACAGGGTGTGCGGGATGTAAGGGGTGTACAGGATGTATGGGGTGTACGGGATGTAAGAGATGTATGGGGTGTGCAGAATGTACAGGATGTATGGGGTGTACGGGATGTACAGAATGTATGGGATGTACGGGGTGTGAGGAATGTACGGGGTGTGCGGGATGTACGGGGTGTGCGGGATGTACAGGGTGTGCGGGATGTAAGGGGTGTACAGGATGTATGGGGTGTACGGGATGTAAGAGATGTATGGGGTGTACGGAATGTAAGGATTGTACGAGATGTATGGGGTGTGTGGGATGTACAACATGTACAGGATGTATGGGGTGTACGGGATGTACAGAATGTATGGGGTGTATGGGATGTACAGAATGTATGGGGTGTACGGGATGTACAGAATGTATGGGGTGTGTGGGATGTAAGGGATGTATGGAATGTACGGGATGTATGGGGTGTGTGGGATGTAAGGGATGTACGGAATGTATGGGATGTATGGGGTGTGTGGGATGTATGGGGTGTGTGGGATGTAAGGGATGTACGGGATGTACGAGATGTACGGGGTGTGCGGGGTGTATGTGATGTGCGGGGTGTATGGGATGTACGTGGTGTATGGGGTGTACGTGATGTATGGGATGTACGAGATGTGCGGGGTGTATGGGATGTACAAGATGTACGGGTGTATGGGATGTACGGGGTGTATGGGATGTACGGGGTGTATGGGATGTACGACATGTGCGGGGTGTATGGGATGTGCAGGGTGTATGAGATGTACGGGGTGTGCGGGGTGTATGGGATGTACGGGGTGTGCGGGGTGTATGGGATGTACGGGGTGTGCGGGGTGTATGGGATGTACGGGGTGTGCGGGGTGTATGGGATGTACGGGGTGTGCGGGGTGTATGGGATGTACGGGATGTACGGGATGTACGAGCCAGCAAATATACTGACATAAAGCTTCAATGAACTACCATGGTGTTCCACAGCTCCGGGGTAGTTCATTGAAAACTACAAGCCCACGGCCATTAAGGCTGTCGGGACTTTCAGTTAATTCATTCAACGGAAGATCGTGAATGAATGACGCGGCCGTGTGGGCGGAGCCCCGCACAGCCGCGCTGTTTTCAAGTCTGACAGTACGGGTAAACTTCTCCCTGTATTATCTGTCAGAGGGAGGGGAGACAGCGGGCAGCATGTTACGTGTTCCACTCTAAAAACGGGTGGAACCGGTAATATGTTCCCAAAGATGATCTCCTTTAAAAAAAAAAAACACTACTCTGTGCACCCCTCTGATTTAGTTCCACTTTGTTCTGTAATAAGCCGCCATCATGTCCTATAGCCACTGATCTGCTTTCATTGGATGGAGGAAGGGTAGAGCGCCTCCCAACTTACAAAGAAATCAAGTCCCTGGTACCAAAGGGAAACTAGTTTCAGGGAGGCGCACACAGGAGTTTCCTGTCTATAAAGGTGAATGATGAGACTTTTCAGGGAGTCGGTGATCATATTGTTATGAATATCTTTTCCAGGCGGCGTACATCTCCGATGAGCTCTATGAACGGGTCTATGTGTTCTGTAAGAAGATTCTGACTCTTCCCAAACCGTACTGCACCATCGGACTGGACTACGCCCAGAGGATCAAAACTGAGAAGAAAGTGCCAGGTATTCACAGCAGAATCCACTCCCCACAAAACCCGATAACATCGACCCAAAGGAAACGCCGCTGTCTGTTCATGGGGTGTCCAAGCGTCAAACACATGTGGAAGAATTAAAAAAAAGTAGGAGCTGTGTGATCGCTCCTCCCCCCTCAGTGATGGGGGCGGGCTCACTCACAGCACCCCTCTCACTGACTCCTATTAGGAGCTGTGTGGTTACTCCTCCTACTCCTCAGCTGTCATAGTTCTCAGTGATGGGGGCGGGCTCACTCACAGCGCCCCTCCCATTGACTAATATTAGGAGCTGTGTGGTTACTCCTCCTACTCCTCAGCTGTCATAGTTTTCAGTGATGGGGGCGGGCTCACGGTGCCCCTCCCACTGACTCCTATTAGGAGCTGTGTGGTTACTCCTCCTACTCCCCAGCTGTCATAGTTCTCAGTGATGGGGGCGGGCTCACTCACAGCGCCCCTCCCATTGACTCCTATTAGGAGCGGTGTGGTTACTCCTCAGCTGTCATAGTTCTCAGTGATGGGGGCGGGCTCACAGTGCCCCTCCCATTGACTCCTATTAGGAGCTGTGTGGTTACTCCTCCTACTCCTCAGCTGTCATAGTTCTCATTGATGGGGGCGGGCTCACTCACAGCGCCCCTCCCATTGACTCCTATTAGGAGCGGTGTGGTTACTCCTCAGCTGTCATAGTTCTCAGTGATGGGGGCGGGCTCACTCACAGTGCCCCTCCCATTGACTCCTATTAGGAGCTGTGTGGTTACTCCTCCTACTCCTCAGCTGTCATAGTTCTCAGTGATGGGGGGGCGGGCTCACTCACAGTGCCCCTCCCATTGACTCCTATTAGGAGCGGTGTGGTTACTCCTCAGCTGTCATAGTTCTCAGTGATGGGGGCGGGCTCACAGTGCCCATCCCATTGACTCCTATTAGGAGCTGTGTGGTTACTCCTCCTACTCCTCAGCTGTCATAGTTCTCAGTGATGGGGGCGGGCTCACTCACAGCGCCCCTCCCATTGACTCCTATTAGGAGCTGTGTTGTTACTCCTCCTACTCCTCAGCTGTCATAGTTCTCAGTGATGGGGGCGGGCTCACTCACAGCGCCCCTCCCATTGACTCCTATTAGGAGCGGTGTGGTTACTCCTCAGCTGTCATAGTTCTCAGTGATGGGGGCGGGCTCACTCACAGTGCCCCTCCCACTGATTCCTATTAGGAGCGGTGTGGTTACTCCTCAGCTGTCATAGTTCTCAGTGATGGGGGCGGGTACACTCACAACGCCCCTCCCACTGACTCCTATTAGGAGCCGTGTGGTTACTCCTACTCCTCAGTTGTCATAGTTCTCAGTGATGGGGGCGGGCTCACTCACAAAGCCCCTCCCACTGACTCCTATTAGGAGCTGTGCGGTTACTCCTCCTACTCCTCAGCTTTCATAAATTTTAATGATGGGGGCGGACTCACTCACAGTGCCCCTCCCACTGACTCCTATTAGGAGCTGTGTGGTTACTCCTACTCCTCAGCTGTCATAGTTCTCAGTGATGGGGGCGGGTACACTCACAACACCCCTCCCACTGACTCCTATTAGGAGCTGTGTGGTTACTCCTCCTACTCCTCCGCTGTCATAGTTCTCAGTGATGGGGGCGGGCTCACTCACAGCGCCCCTCCCATTGACTCCTATTAGGAGCGGTGTGGTTACTCCTCAGCTGTCATAGTTCTCAGTGATGGGGGCGGGTACACTCACAGAGGCTCCTCCCACAGAATTCTGCTGCAGGGCAAACCACAAATTATTATGGTTCTCTGGTGTACCCAAGACAAGGGGCGGACTGACCATTTAGGCACTCGGGCACTTCCCGAGGGCCCAGGGTCAGTAGGGGGGCCCCATGAGATGCCCCTGGAACCTTTCATAGGCTTTTTTGGGTGTGGGCAAGGACACAGGGGCCCCATGATTTCCTATTGCCCGGGGGCCCCATGAGTTGTAAGCCCACCCCTGCCCAAGACTCTGCAGCTGGGAAAGGATGCTGATGTGCAGATTGAACATTAGCATGCATAGAAAGTAATCTATATCCCCACTACTCCTAAGGGAAGTGAATATCACTTACTATTACTTAAAGGATAAGTTCACCTTTTAACAAAAAATAATAAATGCACATTTTTTTGCAGGTAAAACAAATGTGCATTTATTATTTTTTTTTGTTTGTGGAGCCTCTAAAGCATTGCACCAGCGATCAGCAGATTGCCGGTGTCATGCAGACCTCCTCCTGAGTCCTGACCTGTCAGTATATCTGCTTGCTTGTACATCACGTACGAGCAAGCAGATACTAAGGCTCAATGAACTACCAGGAAGGCTCAATGAACTACCACAGCGCTGTCGAGCACCGTGGTAGTCCATAGAAAACTAAAAGCCGACAGCTGCAAAGGCTGCAAGGACTTGTAGTTTTCCCATTCACAGAACGCTCTGCATGAATGACGCAACCAGATGGGCGGAGCCATGGCACCAACACATTTTTTTTTTAAATTGTGACAGCTAGCGAGGGGGGAGAAGAACCCCCATTAGCTGTCACAGTGGGAATTGGGGGGGAGTGGGAACCGGTCAGATCGTAACGTGTTATATGGGTGCTGAATATGGGTGTAACATGTTACAAAAGGTGAACTTATCCTTTAAAGCGGAACTAACGTCTCAATCAACATTATTGACTATTTTCAATCCTTATGCTACTAGCATTAGTAAATAATGAGGAAGGTATATTATGTTTACTTGTTTTAGACTTTAGACTGTAGCACCCTCCTTAACCACTTCCCGACCAGCCGTTGTATATATAAACGGCCGGACGGTGGCACTTCAGGGTCGGGTGGCTGTCTATAAATGGCCTCCCCGCACCCTGCTTGTGCGCGCTCCCTGGGAGCGCGCAGCACCGCGATCCGGTGCCCGCTGTGTCCTCGGGACACAGTGAAACACCGATCGTCGGACGGGACCTCTGTACGAGGTCCCGATCATGTGATCACTGATTGGCCAATCAGTGATCACATGCAAAGTAGTAAGCAAGATGTCACTTCTGACATCATTGCTTACTATGTGTGAAATCTGTGAATGATCACAGAGGTCACATGGCACAAGGCTATTCACAAAAGCCTTGTACCATGTGACAAGCTTTGACCAATCACAGCTCACTCAGTACTTCTCAATGAGTGCAAGAATGCAGACAGAGAGAAAGAGAAATGATTGCTTTTACATCCTATATGGGTGTAAAAGCAATCAGTGTAAAAAAAAAAAAAAAAAAAAAATCTTCATCACCCCTCACAAGTAGTACAGTGTCACCATGGTGACACTGTACTGCTAGGGTGACAGTATGTAAAAAATAAAAAAAAAATAATATAAAAATGTAAAAAAAAATGTTTAAAAATTATAATTTTTGCTTATAAACTAATTTGGATTTTTTTTTTTTTACTAAAAAGATAACGGAATAAATTTTGGCTAAGATTTATGATGAAATATTATTTATTTGCAAAATTTTATAAAAAAAACACTTTTTTTCAAATTTTTTGGACATTTCATTTAGATAGCAAAAAAAAATACTAATCCCAGCGGTGAATAAATACCACCAAAATAAAGCTTTATCTATCTCAAAAAAATGGTAAAAAATTCATTTGGGTACAGTGTTGCATGACCGCGCAATTGTCATTCAAAGTGTGATAGCGCTAAAAGCTGAAAATTGCCCTGGTCAGGAAGGGGGTAAAAGTGTCCGGACTGGAAGTGGTTAAGCTAGGTAAATTTAGTTCTTTTTGGCTCCTCTGTAGTCAATGGAGCAGTTTGTGATTGCTTTGGGCTGTTCTGGGCTCTGCAGGTTGCAGGTTTGATTGCTACACCCTGTTTTCTGTAGAATTCCAGAACAGTTGGAAAAGGCAGATCAGCATCCTGAGTATTTATGTAGCTTCAACCAATCCCTGAGGGAGGTGCCCAGAAGGTGGCTGGGGAGTGCATAAATGGTTTGAAGCCGGAGGCAGCCCAATTCTTGTCCAGGAGGAGAAGTTCCCAGCCTGAAGGGCTACTGCCCGTCGGGGCACCCAACAATTCAACCTGTAGCAGAGCTGGGAGGCTTGTTCTGCTAAAATCTCTGAAACTAAGCAAGGGGTTTCTCTGAGGATCTGTCAGGGAGATCCACTGAGGAATTCTGATATGACCTGAATGGAGGATCCTTGTGACTGTTGCTGCTGATATCCCGAGCTTATCAATACTAGTGCCTGCCTGGCCTGGGACATGGCTGAAGGAATCCTGGTGCTATTCATTTTCTCAGTCTTTGCTGGAGAGGCTGTCCTGAGAATTAGTAAAACTGCCTCTGTATCTCACAAGCCGTCATCAGCTTTCACAAGAAACGTAGGTACGCCTGCGGAACCTACCCATCTCCAATAGAGCGTACCAACACAGCCCTGAAGAAGGGAGAGGCGATTCCCCCGAGACAAGTTGGCTCTATCTGTACATGTCTTAGGCTCCATGTAGACGGGAAACTGCGGTTGCTGGTTTAAGGGTTTGACACTACTTTAAAGGCATATGGACCCAAAAAATGAGTTGTTTTTGCGCCAAAGTGTTTTGTTATACATTTTTTTTTAGATTGGGTTCTCATTATATGGGCAGTTTTGATACAAACAAAAGTCAGTCTGATCTTTTCTAGTCATTTTTTATTTTTTTTTGCTTTCAGGGTTTTCCTATCAGAAAATGGTTGTTTATGAACAAAATCTGAAAAAAGATGTTACTCAGCAACAGGACAAGTAAGTGGCTGTCATACCGTATTCTATATTAGCATTCAGGGGCGGACTGATAACTCATGGGGCCCCCGGGCAATAGGGGATCATGGGGCCCCTGTGTCCTTGCCCAAACTCAAAAAAGCCTATGAAAAAAGGTACCAGGGGCATCTCATGGGGCCCCCTACTGACTCTGGGCCCTCGGGCAGTGCCTGAGTTTCCAAATGGTCAGTCCGCCCCTGTTAGCATTCTATATTACAGTCTTAAGTACATGTGTCAATGCAACACACTGTGCATATCAGTATCAGTAAGGGCTCATTTCCACTTGCTTCGACTTTAACACACATTAAAGTGCTTACTGCTTCAACATGCACTTGTTATGTGTTTTTTATGCTTTTTTGAGCTTTGATGAAGCTTGGCAAATGCCCCGTGTGTGTGTATGTTGATTTTTTATTTGTTTTCAAGGGTTCAGAAAACCCCCAGCTTAGTGGTACCCCCGTTCAGCAGATCCCAAGCCCATTGGTACTCTCATTCAGCAGATCCCCAGCTCATTAGTATCCTCGTTCAACAGATCCCCAGCTCATTAGTATCCTCGTTCAGCAGATCCCCAGCTCATTAGTATCCTCGTTCAACAGATCCCCAGCTCATTAGTATCCTCGTTCAGAAGATCCCCAGCTCATTAGTACCCTTGTTCAGTAGATCCCCAGCTCATTAGTATCCTCGTTCAACAGATCCCCAGCTCATTAGTATTCTCGTTCAGTAGATCCCCAGCTCATTAGTACCCTTCTTCAGTAGATCCCCAGCTCATTAGTATCCTCGTTCAGCAGATCCCCAGCTCATTAGTATCCTCGTTCAGCAGATCCCCAGCTCATTAGTATCCTCGTTCAGCAGATCCCTTGCTCAGTAATACTCCCAGCTATGCTGATGCCCCACTCAGTAGTAACTTCCATCTCTGCTTATCACCTGCTTAGTAGTACCTCCAAGTCTGCTGATGCCCCACTCAGTAGTACCCCCAGCTCTGCTGATCCTCTGTTGCTTAGTCCTCTCTCTCCAGACCCTGTTCACCTTTCGCTATAGCATTCCCATGTTGCACGCCACTAGTTGCTCTGGTCCGGGCCCCACTCACCTTCCTGCTGCTCCACGCTGCACTCCAAATGTGACGTCTGTACCAGACACTCCCAAACTATATACACATGAACCGGAAGTGACTGAGAATGATGTCTTTCCCATTCGCTTGTTGGTTTCCCAATGCATCCTGGGATGACTTATACCTGTAAGTTCTCCAAAACAAAGCAAAGCTAACTCTGAATAAAAGCCCCTCAAAAGCTGCAGATGCTGTTAGCAAGCCTTGTCATAGGCGTCTATGGAGGCGTTGGAGACACTTTGAAGCACCAAGAAAGCGACATGGGGTACCATTTATGAAGCAAACCAAACACAACCTATGAACAGGACTGTAAGCTTAGCAATCTATTTAATGGCTCTGATTGGCATTCAGAGTGCTTTAAAAAAGCAAGTCCAAGGCCACATTCTGAAGCAAGTGTAAATGAGCCCTTAGTCTTTTGACCGCTGATGTGGCCTGTATAGAACCTGCATAGAACACATTAAAAAACATAAAGTAAAACATATCAGACTGTGTTTAAAAATTAATCTCAATCAGTGTCAACTCACGTCATAAATGTAAGGGACATTCTTCCCAATGACCACCAATGTAAGGGACATTCTTCCCACTGACCACCAATGTAAGGGACATTCTTCCGACTGATCACCAATGTAGGGAGCATTCTTCCCACTGACCTCCAATGTAAGGGACATTCTTCTCACTGACCCCCAATGTAAGGGACATTCTTCCCACTGATCACCAATGTAAGGGACATTCTTCCCACTGACCACCAATGTAAGGGACATTCTTCCCACTGACCACCAATGTAAGGGACATTCTTCCCACTAACCTCCAATGTAAGGGACATTCTTCCCACTGATCCCCAATGTAAGGGACATTCTTCCCACTGACCACCAATGTAAGGGACATTCTTCCCACTGACCCCCAATGTAAGGGGCATTCTTCCCACTGATCACCAATGTAAGGGACATTCTTCCCACTGACCGCCAATGTAAGGGACATTCTTCCCACTGATCACCAATGTAAGGGACATTCTTCCCACTGACCGCCAATGTAAGGGACATTCTTCCCACTGATCACCAATGTAAGGGACATTCTTCCCTCTGACCACCAATGTAAGGGACATTCTTCTCACTGACTGCCAATGTAAGGGACATTCTTCCCACTGATCACCAATGTAAGGGACATTCTTCCCACTGACCCCCAATGTAAGGGACATTCTTCCCACTGATCCCCAATGTAAGGAACATTCTTCCCACTGACCCCCAATGTAAGGGACATTCTTCCCACTGACCCCCAATGTAAGGGACATTCTTCCCACTGATCACCAATGTGCCATAAGATGTGGCTATAGTAATTTCTAGCAGGGATTCCCTGAGACCGGAATATTATTTCAAGGATCCCTCTGTGTTGAAAAGGTTAAGAAAGTCTGGTGTAGATGTAAAGAGGGTAGAATGTATTCTGCACAACTTGTATCTGGACCTCAGTAGAACGGTGTGGTGATCTAGTCATGACAGAATAATAGGTCTGCTATCAGACTCCTAATGAAATTACTCGCATGTTGTAAATGAGTGCAAGAAAAGTGTTGAAATTTTGTATTTCTATGCTTGTTCCAGGTGTGGAAAAGAGTAAGGCCTCATACACACTGGATATTTATGACAACGCTCTTATGGGCGTTTGGCATTTTTTTTTGCCTCTAAACACCCCTGCATGTTAACTCACACTATACTGCCAAAAGTACTGGAACGCCGGCCTTTCCACACACATGACCTTTAATGGCCTCCCAGTCTTAGTCCGTAGGGTTCAATAATGAGTTGGCCCCGCCCTTTGCTTCAACTCTTCTGGGAAGGCCGTCCACAAGGTTTAGGAGGGTGTCTATGGGAAGGTTGGACCATTCTTCCAGAAGCACATTTGTCAGGTCAGGTACTGATGTCGGGGGAGGAGGCCTGGCTCGCAGTCTCCGCTCTAATTCATCCCAAAGGTGTTCTATGGGGTTGAGGTCAGGACTCTGTGCAGGACAGTCAAGTTCCTCCACCCCAAACTGGCTCCTCCATGTCTTTATGGACCTTGCTTTGTGCACTGGTGTGCAGTCATGTTGGAACAGGAAGGGGCCATCCCCAAACTCTTCCCACAAAGTTGGGAGCATGAAATTGTCCAAAATGTCGCCTTAAGAGTTCTCTTCACTGGAACTATGGGGCCAAGCCCAACCCCCGAGAAACAACCCCACACCATAATCCCCCCTCCACGGGTGTTTAGAGGCAGGAAAATTCCCTACTGCCAATCCAGGAGCAGCGGCGTTTTGGCAGAGAAAATGATTGATGCAAATAAATGCATTTTACGTGTCTAAAAACATGTTATCACTAGGTGTGTTTAGCTCTTGCATGTTAATTCATTTCAATAGCCAGAATAAATTATGACTCCAGCCAATGGAAGTAACGCCCAAGCACTGGACGCACTTTAAATGTTACACACGTTTTACAAGCATCAATTTTTTTTTCCGTCTAAAACACTGCTGCAAGCAGGAAAGGCGTCTAGCAGAGATATCCAAACGTCCAATGTGCGTGAGGTCCTAATGCTCTGATAGGACAGCTAGGAAACTTCCATTTTTCGAAAGGCAAGGTCACATAATTCTCTCGCGGTGGGTTGAGTCCATTCCCAAAGACAGTTGCAGTAAGAGGGAATGCCGTTCTTTTGCAGGGTGCTGCTGTTTCTGGACCCCGGCCTGGTCTCTGAGGCTGTATGTAACACTCTTCTACGGGAGACTCAAGCGGGTCAGATGTCTCACACCTCCGTCTCCTGCATGAGCTATGTCATCGCCAACAGCATCCAGACCGCTCTGGGAAAGGACTGCGACATCGCTCTGCTGCAGAGGGTGATAGAGGTAAGTGAAGATGCTGCATTTAGCCTTGGACCAGTTGGCTGCCAGTACTGGTATTTACCAGAAGAACATCTAGTGGGTTTTAGGATCTGGATATAATGAATTTGAAAGCATAGACCGGCTTTTGGACCATGTTTCATGTTACATCCATAGTTAAAGTGGTATTAAAAATCATTAGATGTGGTGGCTGCATTAGTTGTCTTTTTTAATCTTTTTTTTTCGCTTTGTTTTCACCTGGTTATCTGGCCAGTGACACACTTACACTTTGGAGGAAGGCGCACAGGGGGCACCTTTGGACAGCCGTAGTGATGCACCGATATATATATTTTGGTCGCTGAAAATTATCGGCCGAAAATAGGATTATCGGTGCTTTGCCAATAGAAAAAAAAGGTTCTGATAATGATAACTGACTCAATGCAAAATCACGTCCTACTGACTTCAATGCAAAAGCGCCCCTATTGACTTCAATGCAAAATCGAGTCCCGTTGGCTTCAATGCAAAATCGCATCCCATTGACTTCAATGCAAAAACACCCCCTACTGACTTCAATGAAAAATTACATCCAATTGCCTTCAATGCAAAAAACGGCACCTATTGACTTCAATGCAAAATCGAGTCCCATTGGCTTCAATGCAAAATTGCATCCCATTGACTTCAATGCAAAAACACCCCCTACTAACTTCAATGAAACATTGCATCCCATTGCCTTCAATGCAACAATACCCCCTATTGAGTTCAATGCAAAGTCGTGTCTCCTTGACTTCAATGCAAAAGTGTGTCCTATTAAATTCAATGTAAAAACACCCCTATTGACTTCAATGCAAAATTGTGTCACATTGGCTTCAATGCAAAATCGCATCCCACTGACTTCAATGCAAAAACACCCCTTACTGACTTCAATAAAAAATTGCGTCCTATTGCCTTCAATGCAAAAATGCCCCCTATTGACTTCAATGCAAAATTGCATCTCCTTGACTTCAATGCATAATCGCGTCCCATTAAATTCAATGCAAAAATGCTCACTATTGACTTCAATGCAAAATCGCGTCCCTATTGGCTTCAATGCAAAATTGGATCCCATAGACTTCAATGCAAAACCACCCCCTACTGACTTCAATGAAAAATTGCATCCCATTGCCTTCAATGAAACAATGCCCCCTATTGACTTCAGTGCAAAGTCGTGTCTCCTTGACTTCAATGCAAAAGTGCGTCCTATTAAATTCAATGCAAAAACACCCTTATTGACTTCATTGCAAAATTGTGTCACATTGGCTTCAATGCAAAATCGCATCCCACTGACTTCAATGCAAAAACACCCCCTACTGACTTCAATTAAAAATTGCGTCCCATTGCCTTCAATGCAAAAATGCCCCCTATTGACTTCAATGCAAAATTGCATCTCCTTGACTTCAATGCAAAATTGCATCTCCTTGACTTCAATGCATAATCGCGTCCAATTAAATTCAATGCAAAAATGCTCACAATTGACTTCAATGCAAAATCGCGTCCCTATTGGCTTCAATGCAAAATTGGATCCCATTGACTTCAATGCAGAAACATTCCTTATTGACTTCAATGCAAAATTGTGTCCCATTGACTTCATTGCAAAATCACGTCCTATTGACTTCAATGCAAAAACGCCCCCGTTGCCTTCGATGCAAAATCGGTTTCGGTTTTCAGTCAAGTGCATCCTGAATCTTTGGATTCAATCCAGAATTTTCATTTTGGAGCACCACTAGACAGCAGCATTGTCAGTCTGGGGGGAGGGTTAGATGTACTGGCAGATGTAGATACACTAACACATTGAAGCCAAACTTCAGCTCACACTGCACTGCAAGAAGTTACAGCAGAGTTTTACATCAATAAATAAAAGCTGATCATTGTAAGCACCCCTGTCAGTGGTATATGGTTTGTCACAACCCTCTAACTGCTAAACCTGCAGGAAAGATTGTTTTATTGAAAAACAACAGACTTACTAGCAGGATCACAGGATGAAAATAAAGGAAGGAAAGCCTAAAAACAAACTAATGCAGCCATCTAAGAATTGGTAAGCAGCAACATAATACATTTTTGCTTTTGGATTTAGTACCACTTCAAGGGGAACCCATGGTTGCATAGGACGTCCCTCGGAACTCACAACACCCGACTTTAGATATGCTTTAGGCAGCAAAAGATGCATTAGAGATGATTGGGGGGGGGGGGGGGGCAGCATAGTGAGAACATGTATCTGTCAGCTGTAAGAAGCAGGTCTGGTCATGTGACCTAAAGCCACCATCATGTCATACGACCTATGGCAGCTCTGCACTTTCTAAGTGCTCATTTCTCATTTTTATATTGTGTTTTTGCTTTTTAACTTGGAAAGACACAAACCACAGAGGAAGTGGAACTTTGGTTCCAGGAAGTTTTGTCTGCGGTGGAGCGAAGCGAGCAAGAAGGCGGAGGCAACAGGAGAAGGCACAGTGAGCGGCTCAGGGAGATCTACGAAAAGATTGTCACCTCGCCGCAGGAAGGTACAGTTGTGTCCAAAATTATTCAACCCCCACTGAAATCAGTCATCTTGCTTACATTTACATTAAAGAGGCACTTGTAGGTCAGACAAATATAACATAACAGTTATAATGAAATAACCACAAATGTCTTTTCTGTGCTCACAGCATTATCAGTTTTATTCAACCCCAAGTGACATTCAATCTTAGTACTTAGTACAGCATCCTTTTACAGTTATAACAGCTTTTAAAACGTGAAGCATAGCTTGACACAAGTGTCTTGCAGCGATCTACGGGTATCTTCGCCCATTCTTCATGGGCAAAGGCCTCCAGTTCAGTCACATTCTTAGGCTTGCGCACTGCAACTGCTTTCTTTAAGTCCCACCAGAGGTTCTCAATCGGATTTAAGTCTGGTGACTGCGATGGCCACTCCAAAATGTTCCAGCCTTTCCTCTGCAACCATGCTCTAGTGGACTTGGAGGTATGCTTGGGATCATTGTCCTGTTGAAAGGTCCAACGTCTCCCAAGCCTCAGGTGTGTGACGGACTGCATCACGTTTCCATCCAATATCTCCTGGTACTGAAGAGAATTCATGGTACCTTGCACACGCTGAAGCTTCCCTGTACCTGCAGAAGCAAAACAGCCCCAAAGCATGATTGACCCTCCACCATGCTTCACAGTAGGCAAGGTGTTCTTTTCATCATAGGCCTTGTTCTTCCTCCTCCAAACATAGCGTTGATCCATGGGCCCAAACAGTTCTAATTTTGTTTCATCAGTCCACAGAACACTATCCCACAACTTTTGTGGTTTGTCCACATGGCTTTTGGCATACTGCAGTCGACTCTTCTTATTCTTTGGAGACAGCAAGGGGGTACGCCTGGGAGTTCTGGCACGGAGGCCTTCATTACGCAGTGTGCGTCTTATTGTCTGGGCTGAAACTTCTGTACCCACATCTGACAAATCTTTTCTCAGTTCCTCAGCAGTCACACGGGGACTTCTCTCCACTCTACGCTTCAGGTAGCGCACAGCAGTTGAAGTCAGCATCTTCTTTCTGCCACGACCAGGTAGCGTTTCAACAGTGCCCTTTGCCTTGAATTTGCGAATGATGCTTCCTAAGGTGTCTCTTGGTATGTTTAACATCTTTGCAATCTTCTTATAGCCATTGCCCTTCCTGTGAAGAGAAATCACCTCTTCTCTTGTCTTCCTGGACCATTCTCTTGCCTTCACCATGTTTGTAACCACACCAGTAAATGTCTAGAAGGAGCTGAGTATCACAGTCATTTTAAAGCTGCCTAATTGGTGCTTATTATGCTTGATTGCTGCTCGGTGACATCCACAGGTGTTTTCAATACCTGATGGAAAGCACCTGTATGAACCTCTGTTCTTCAGAGTGGTAGTCTTTAAGGGGTTGAATAATTGTGGGCAATGAAGAAACCACATAAGAACCATTTACTACTGTATTACATAAACAATTGATGTCATTTTAGTTGCATTTGGGTAGTTACAACGTCCTTGTAGGATTTGATTCTGAATACAATTCCAAATGTACACTATAGTCCCTAAACCCCTTTACAGCATTGGGGGTTGAATAATTTTGGACACAACTGTAAATGCTGGAATTAAATGGCTTACAGTATCTCAGTGCAGATTTCAAGCTGAATTCCAGGAATTCACTGCGAAAAAAGTAAGGGCACACTGTGAGCTAAGTCCAAGGAGCTGTATGGCATCTCCTGGGCGTATCTCTGTTAGTTACATTTGACAAGTTTATTGCTCTGCTGGAGAGAGATCTTAGAGGAGAGAAGAACACACGGTAACTATGCCCGCCCCTCCTCTCTGCTGCCCATTCACAGAAGTCTTTGTTTTCAAGGGCTTCTGCGAATGTGTTCACATAATACAAAGGCTTCTGCGAATGTGTTCACATAATACAAAGGCTTCTGCGAATGTGTTCACATAATACAAAGGCTTCTGCGAATGTGTTCACATAATACAAAGGCTTCTGCGAATGTGTTCACATAATACAAAGGCTTCTGTGAATGTGTTCACATAATACAAAGGCTTCTGTGACTGGGCAAGAGTGGAGGAGGGGCAGGCATAGCAGCTGCAGCAACTCTTCTGTTCAGGATGCAGAGCTGAGAAGGATCAGAGTTTCGTGGAACTACAGTGATAGTACTTTAAATAATAGAGCTAAGCCCAGGAGTGTATAATGTGTGTGTATAAGGGCTCATGTACACCGCAGCTTCTAAACTGACGTTCGGGATCTGTTCTGCGTTTTTTTCAGCAGCCCCTGAACTCTCCCTAATGTTCTCCATGTACACATCATCCTTTACAGTCAGTTGAGTTTACAGTCGTTTTTTTTAACGCACCAAACTTGTGTTCAGGAGTAGATTTCACCAGCATTTTAAAAACCAAATGCGTGTAAACGCTTGTAAACGCGGTTAAACGCGTTTATAAGCGTTTGCGTTTAGAAGCGTTTTTTAACTGTTCCATATCCAGATGCTGTCCGGAGCCTTTTTTTTATCATCAGAAATGCATGCAAAGCGTTTTTCATGTATTCAAATGGACCCGGTACACCAGCGCAGTCAGTTCCAGGTTTGGCGTGAAGGAAAAAAATGGTAGAACGTGCCGCATTATACTCATGATGGGATCCATAGTGAATACAACCAGAAAAGACAGGTCATCTCCACACATACTGCTCTCTCTGCTTCTACTTTCTCTATTCCTCTCAAAATGTCTGAAATAGTAAATTTTTTACTGTTTCTCAGTGCATGCTGGGCATTTGGGAAGGTCTCCTGAGGTTATCTTTTAAAAACAACAAAATGTTCTTTTCATTTCCCCTATATTCCCTTTCTTAAATAAATCTATAAAGATATCCAAACCTAAATGTGCAATGCTAATTACCCCAGATACACATCTATAAACAACAAAAATTAAATGAAATGAAATAAATAAAATAAAATAAAACTTAGTGTCCAAAAAATGTCTTTTTTATATACAACAAGTCCAAATCACTTTTTCTCCACTTCAATCGCTTTTCCTTGTGATATTTTGCATGAAATTTCAAATACGATGATCCAGTAGAAAAAACCTCAAAGAAATATATAAACCGCAAATAGTGTATTATCTTATTACAAAGATTTATTTGTGCACTATGTGTCATGCATACTCCAACACAAAGTGTTCTAGCAGTGAAAAAAAAAAAAAAAAAAAGGGATCCCTTTGATGACAAAGTCCAGGAAGTGACGAAACGCGTCGGGACACATGACGTATGACGCAATTACGCTAGACCGGAAGTAGGTGTGCGGCCATCTTTGATTAGGGAAAATGCGATTTTTTTTTTTTTATCTTTTCTGTTGAGGTTATTGTTTATTTTGGGGGTGTTATTTACATTTTATCTTTTTAAAACGCTTCTAAACGCAAACGCACATAAACGCGGCTAAACTGACGTTTTTTAACCTACGTTTTCCAGCAGTCAGTTTCCATCGTTCAGAAGAGTTTTCCCCGCGTACATGGAGCTCTAACTGAATGATTTCTAGAGATGAACAGGGAAGTCACCCCAGTAGGGATGAAGTAATTGCAGATTGTTTTGAAACATCGAGGAAATTGTTCTGCAACTGAAATCAAGCGCAGCTCACCCGGTACTGAGAGAAGGAAGGAGATGCTGGCAGTTTTCAGGAAGTGGTCATTGTGTGGAAATGGTAATAGCTGAACACTGCTGATGCCAAGAGAGTCTTATCACAGTTTTTGTAGGTCTGCCGGTGTACTGCAGGTCTCCTATGAGAAGACAAAGGGCAATATACAATATTACAATGTTAGAATCTGGTTCCTGCAGCTGACTGCACACCATGACCCCCACTTCACATTATTATACAGTATTTATAAAGCGCCAAAAGTTCGCTCAGCGCTGTACATTACAAATCTATGCAGCCCGCGTTTTGCACGGGCACGAGAGCCCATTCATTTGAATGGACTCCTGTGCCCCCTGACACGCAGGAAAAGAAGTCCCTGCACTTCTTTGGAAAACGCAGCCGAGGTTCCCTGTACAGTTGCGTTTTCCAGTGAGGGCGGCGTGCCATTAGAACTAATGGCACCTGCCCGCGGGTCCGCAATATTCTGTGCGGGTGGCACGGATCCGCAGCGGCACCACCACCCGCACAGATGTGAACCTAGGGTTAGTGATCGAAGTAAAGTGGACCTGTCAGTAACTTTACAAATCAGCCTGAGTAGATTCCTGATCTGCCACAATATACAGAGACGGGTTCATTTTTCAGAAAACCTCAACCTTTTCTCATTAAAAACACAGACTCTGATCCCCAGTCCAGTGACTTTGTCTAGACCAGTGGTTCTCAACCTGTGGGTCGCGACCCTTTGGGGGTCGAACGACCTTTTCACAGGGGTCGCCTAAGACCATCGGAAAACACATATTTCCGATGTGTAAAGAGCAGCTACTGTGTAGAAAGCAGCTACAGTGTTGAAAGCAGCTACTGTGTTGAAAGCAGCTACAGTGTAGAAAGCAGCTACTGTGTTGAAAGCAGCTACTGTGTTGAAAGCAGCTACAGTGTTGAAAGCAGCTACTGTGTAGAAAGCAGCTACAGTGTTGAAAGCAGCTACAGTGTTGAAAGCAGCTACTCTGTTAAAAGCAGCTACTGTGTTGAAAGCAGCTACTACGTTAAAAGGAGCTACAGTGTTGAAAGCAGCTACTGTGTTGAAAGCAGCTACAGTGTAGAAAGCAGCTACAGTGTTGAAAGCAGCTACTGTGTTGAAAGCAGCAGTATTGGAGGTAAAAACGACACTTCATGAATTATAATTACTGGGTAAATAAATTTATGATTGGGGGTCACCACAACATAAAAAACGGTGTTAAAGGGTTGCGGCATTAGGAAGGTTGAGAACCACTGGTCTAGACTGAGATGATGTCATCAGTAAGCTTCAGGCAGGAGCAGGGGCGGACTGACAACTCATGGGGCCCCCGGGCAACAGGAAATCATGGGGCCCCTGTGTCCTCGCCCACACTCAAACCACACCCAAAAAAGCCTATGAACGGTACCAGGGGCATCTCATGGGGCCCCCTATTGACCCCGGGCCCTCGGGCAGTGCCCGAGTGCCTAAATGGTCAGTCCGCCCCTGGGCAGGAGGAAGCATTTCTTCAGTCTCCCCTCCCCCCAGAGTGATCAGACTCCAACATTGCAACTTTGTAGTGGATCACAAGGTAATGCATGCCATACATTGGTCGATTTCTTGAAATAATTTTCTTTCAAAAATCGTAACTAGGAATTTTTGTTTCGAAATTTTGCACCAATACTGGCTGATTTTTGTGCGGCCATCGAATTTAAGTGATTTGGAAAATTTGGATTTTGGAAATTTTTTTTTTTTTTTAAATGAATGAATTTTGAGTCAATGATGGGAGAACTGTGCAGGAAATATAATCGAAAAATAAATGAGCATGAGCTGTGACCTGGAGAGAAAAGAAGATTCCCAGCCACAAAAATTATTTTCTGTAGCAACAGGAGGTGAAATTGAAGGCTTGACTGGTCGAATTTTGAAATCAATGGTGGCATCATCAGATCATAAAATGCACATTTCCGATTTTCGAAAGAAATTTTTTTCAGAATTCGACCCATGTATGACCTGCCCAGGGGTGGCCTGACAACTCATGGGGCTCCCAGGCAATAGGGGATCATGGGGCTGCTGTGTCCTCGCCCACACCCAAAAAATTATGAAAAAGCCAATAAAAAGGTACTAGGGGCATCTCTACTGACCCTGGGCCCTCGGGCAGTGCCCGAGTGCTCAGTCCGCCCCTGGACCTGAATAAGCCCTGGTTCACACCACATCAGAATCGCACCCCATTCATGTGAACCGCTGCGGGTGTGTATGTTAAGTTAACACCCCGAAAGCGGTCCGCAAAATGCAGAATCGGATCGCATAGGGGTGAATACCCATGCAATTCTAGTGCAGACCAAAAAAAGGGTCCTGCATGTTTTTGGTGCAGGTGCGGTGCGATTAGAGCCATACAGAATGTACGACTCCAATCGCATCACACACAAATTGCATGTGATTTGCACAGGAATGCGGTGCGGTTCCTGTGCGAATCACATGCGATATACCGCACCGCATTGATGTGAACCCGGGCTAAAGGTCCACTCTAATTAGATCAGTGATGCTGTGCAGTCAGCTACAGCAGGAGGCAGATCTGTGTCAGACATTTGTGAACACAGCCAAGGCACCAGGATTTGTAAGCCTGTGTCATCTCTGAGTCCGCATCTCAGCCCAGGAAATATATATTGACACTGGATGATGCCAGAACAAAGATGGCTCCATCTTTCTGGAGAGAAAAACAGATGAAGCATTGTCAGGGGAGTGATATCTTTGAGAGGTAATAAATACTGGGAAGCATTATAATGACACCAAGCATGCTGCACCTAAATTGGATAAAATATACCAGGGGCGGACTGACCATTTGGAAACTCGGGCACTGCCCGAGGGCCCGGGGTCAGTAGGGGGCCCCATGACATGACCCTGGTACCTTTTTCATAGGCTTTTTTGAGTTTGGGCAAGGACATAGGGGCCCCATGATCCCCTATTGCCCGGGGGCCTCATGAGTTGTCAGTCCGCCCCTGTATCTGACTCTAGGACCACATTAAATATGGCTCATTGTCCTCCACTCTCTGATACATCATTGGTCAGTACTGACGCGTTCCTTCTCTTTTCTTTTCCAGACGCTCCAGAATTCAAGCTTCAAAGAATCCCCCTCCCCAGCCTGAATATTAGTGTCCACCTTTGGACGGAGGACGATCAACTGTGTAATTGTTATTTTCTACCCCACTTTCTGAACTCTATTCATCTCTGGAAATGTTCTGCATACGGTTGACGACGCTCCCCGCAGCTTTCAGTGCAAACTTTACACACTTATCCATTCCTAAACTTTGCGCTTTCCATGCATCGCAAACACCAGTGATGAGGAAAGTTTGTATTTTTGGCTCCCGCAGAACATATTTAGGCCTCATTCACGCGGTACAAAAGAAAGTAGTGATGGGGTTTTAGAGGTGTGTAACGATGGGACCGACTCATTTTTAAAAGGTTTTTTTTTACCAACTTACATGTTTCGCCCAACCTGGGCTTCCTCAGGGGAAGAGACAGACTATCCACAGTACAGTCCACAAATATATCAAAGACACTAATCAATCCAACATAGTTATACTAGGGATGCACCGAAATTTTGGCCACCGAAACATATTGGCTGAAAATAGCCCTATCAGCAAATGCCAAAATGTAGCCGATACAGGGGACTGTGTGTACTGCAGATGTGAGGGGGGGTGGTGGCGAAAGGCAAGAGAGGAGCACTGTGACTGGCTGTCACTATTATTATTATTATACAGTATTTATATAGCGCCAACGGTTTGCTCAGTGCTTTACACTACAATGGGAGACAATACATGAGGCAGTACAGTAACAATACAATGCGATACACGAGGGGATCGAGGGCCCTGCTCCTTGGAGCTTACAATCTAGGAGGGAGGGGATGGTGGTACAGGAGGAAATAGCTGTGGGGGATGGAGTGGTAGGAAGAGTGGAGGAGATCGGCAATTAGCTGAGGGCGGGGTAGGCTTCCCTGAAGAGGTGGGTTTTCAGGGTGCGTCTAAAGGAGAGGAGGGTAGGTAGGGGATGGTGGCACAGGAGGAGATAGCTGTGGGGGATGGGGTGGTAGGAAGAGTGGAGGAGGTTGGCAAGTTAGCAGGGGGTGGGGTAGGCTTCCCTGAAGAGATGGGTCTTCAGGGTGCGCCTGAAAGGAGAGGAGGGTAGGTGATAGTCTGATGGATTGGGGTAGGGAGTTCCAGAGGATGGGGGGAAGCCCTGGAGAAGTCCTGGAGATGGGCATGGGAGGAGGAGACCAGGGAGCTAGAGAGTAGGAGGTCTTGTGAGGAGCGGAGAGTGGGTGTTGGGTGGTACTTGGATATCAGGTCGGTGATGTAGTTTGGGGCAGTGTTATGAACAGCTAAGTCAATGTCAGCATTTTGAATTTGATCCGTTGCGCAATCGGAAGCCAGTGGAGGGATTGGCAGAGGGGGGTGGCGGATACGGAGCGGTTAGTAAGGTGGATGAGTCTGGCCGCAGTATTCAGGATAGACTGGAGTGGGGATAGTCTGCGGTGAGGTAAGCCGGCGAGGAGGGAGTTGCAGTAGTCGAGGCGTGATATGATGAGGGAGTGGATGAGCTGTTTAGTGGTTTCTGCGGTTAGGAACGGACGTATTCTGGAGATGTTGCGGAGGTGGAGTCTGCATGAATTTGTCAGTGATTGGACCTGGGGTTGGAAAGACAGATTGGAGTCTAGGATGACACCAAGTACTCTGGCCTGCGGGGTGGGCTGATGGTGGCATTGTTGGACGTGATGGAGAAGTCGGGGGGGGGGGGGGGGGCGCAGGCTGGGGGGAAAACTAGGTTTTGGAAAGGTTTAGTTTGAGGAAGTGGAGTGACATCCAATCCGATATGTCGTTCAGTAGGCAGGTGATTCGGGCGGAGACTGCAGGGGTGGGGCAAGGGGTAGAGAGGTAGATGTGCGTGTCATCAGCGTAGAGGTGGTAGTTGAAGCCGTGGGAGTGTATCAGTTGGCCAAGGGAGGAGGTGTAGATGGAGAAGAGAAGGGGCCCGAGGACAGAACCTTGAGGGACCCCAACAGAGAGGGGGAGGTGGCAGCGTTATAGGTAACACTGAAGGAGCATTGGGATAGATAGGAGGAGAGCCAGGAGAGAGCGGAGTCTCTGGGGCCAAGAGAGTGTAGTTTTTTTGAGGAGGAGGGGGTGGTCAACCGTGTCGAAAGCCGGGGAGAGGTCGAGGAGTAGGACTATAGGTCAGTGTCGGTTTTTAAATGTAATTAGCTGCTTTTTTTTTATTCACTATAGCTCACAGAATTAGCTGACACTTTCTCCGGAGCTAAAGGAAACAAAGTTTCCTTTTAGTTTATTTCCCCGAGTTAAAAGAAAAAAAGTTTCCTTTAAGCCAAAAAAGGATTGCTCACAAGGATTATAAAAAAAAGTCTTGAGGGTCACATTAGTAAACACCAACTCAGCAAAACAACCAGCATCGGTCTTCCCACAAATATGGTCCATAGAAGTGTAAATATCACACACAGTCTCAGTGTTAAGAAATCATTTATGTGGCCAAAAGACCATCCCCAATCTAATCAGCTCTTATATACCTTCCAGCCGGCCGACGTGTGACATCATGGCGTATGCGCGGATATAAACAGCCCAGGAATCCCACACTGGCTGCAGAACTGCAGGGACATCGACAGCAACAGCGCCGCCAATGGTCGGAAGACCAACACAACACATAAACAAAATCAAAACAGACTATAACCTGCCATCTAGTGGCTAAATAGGATCACAACAAATCCCACGGTGAAATTGCAGTGACCAAGATTGAAACAAAGCCACCAACCAGCAAAGCACCTAGGAAAAATCAAACAAAATATAACGCGTCATCTAGTGGAAAAATAAGGTCACAACAGGCTCTGTTGTACCTTAAAGCTGATAAAATCCCCACATGATGGTACCAAGCAGAGAATCAATAGGCTCCAATCCGCTAGCAGTGCACAAAATGGCGCAGTCCTCAAACTGAGAGACTGCATCCTGGGGGTCCGTACAATCACACCTCAGGACACCTATTCAGGACCTAGGAAAAAAATACATAGAGAATACTTAAAACATGGTAAATCTATTAGTTAACACGCAAGCTGGGGGATCGTCATAATTTATTACCAAGCAGCTCATAACCACAATTATACAACATCCATTTTTTATTCACCAATAACCAGCAGGAATGTACAGGTATGAGATCACATGAACCGCGCTGTATGGCTGACACACGTGGGGCAGTACTGCAGTGCGGGGTAATTATTATAGAAATGGTGTAAAGCTCGAAAATTCGTTCAGGCCGGGATAACAAGTCGCATTTTATATATCCAACGTGTCTCCAGGTGTAAAAGTTTTTGATGAATATTTCCTCCCCGCACATGGCGGGATATGTACCTTCCTGGATTTAATGTAACTATTGCAATAAATTGGTAAAAAAAAACTTTTAAAAATTAGTTGGTCCATCGTTACCCACCTCTAAAATCCCATCACTACTTTCTTATGTATCATTTTATTGGGGATGGGGTGCAATATGCTGTTGGTCAACCACTCGTCATTTTTTCAATCCTCATTCACATGGGAGTACCGATCCATACACCTGTGCTGAGTTCCCGGGTCTGTACACCCGCTGTGCTCATTATGAGGGGTTCCCACCATCCCTGTGCAGAATTCCTGTGTCTGTACACCCGCTGTGTCCATTATGAGGGGTTTCCACCATCCCTGTGCTGAGTTCCCAGGTCAGTACACCTGCTGTGCCCATTATGAGGGGTTCCCACCATCCCTGTGCTGAGTTCCCAGGTCTGTACACCTGATATGCCCATTATGAGGGGTTCCCACCATCCCTGTGCTGAGTTCCCGGGTCTGTACACCCGCTGTGCCCATTATGAGGGGTTCCCACCATCCCGGTGCTGAGTTCCCAGGTATGTACACCTGCTGTGCCCATTATGAGGGGTTCCCACCATCCCTGTGCAGAGTTCCCAGGTCTTTACACCCGCTGTGCCCATTATGAAAGGTTCCCAACATCCCTGTGCTCAGTTCCCTGTCTGTACATCTGCTGTGTCCATTATTAGGAGTTTCCACTATCCATGTGCTAAGTTCCCAGGTCTATACACCTGCTATGCCCATTATGAGGGGTTCCCACCATCCCTGTGCTTAATTCCCAGGTCTATACACTTGCTATGCCCATTATGAGGGGTTCCCACCATCCCTGTGTTGAGTTCCCGGGTCTGTACACCTGCTGTGCCCATTATGAGGGGTTCCCACCATCCCTGTGCTGAGTTCCCGGGTCTGTACACCTGCTATGCCCATTATGAGGGGTTCCCACCATCCTTGTGCTGAGTTCCGGGGTCTGTACACCCGCTGTGCCCATTATGAGGGGTTCCCACCATCCCTGTGCTGAGTTCCCGGGTCTGTACACCTGCTGTGCCCATTATGAGGGGTTCCCACCATCCCTGTGCTGAGTTCCCGGGTCTGTACACCTGCTGTGCCCATTATGAGCACTACTTCCTTTCCCTCATAGTGGGGGGGGGTTTACACGCAGATATTACAGATCCGCAGTGTGATGGCTACGATGTATGTGCTTTTTTTTAAATGTTTCTAAACTCTGATATCTTCATCCGTTTATCTATCTTCAGGGAAAGAGCTCATGCTATTCACCGTGAGACGCAAGTCATGGACGCTGAGATCGAGTCGTTCAAGATGCCAGAACTGGCGATGGACTCGGAAGGCAGCGAGCAGAACCGTATTTCCGTGTGGTCCAACGACAGCGGGATTGAGAGGGACTTGCCGGTATCAGAGGAGAAGGAAACCGACCAAGCTGCAAAGGAAGCCATGCATCAAGAAGAAAGACCTGGACCCCACCATCCTTCTCCAGAACCTCACCAAGGCGCCCAAGGGAAGCCGAACGGGGACACTACAAAGGCTGTCGGGGCAGAGCACTGAGGTCCCCTCTGGTCCTGACAGGCTGCCCACCGCTCGGGTCATCGTTCTGGGGGACGACAGGGCTCTGGGCAGACTGGCCAAAGCTTACTACTCCTTCAGGTATCAATCAAACCCAGGTGCGGACTGACAACTCATGGGGCCCCCGGGCAATAGAGGATCATGGGGCCCCTGTGTCCTCGCCCACAATCAAAGCACACCCAAAAAAAGCATATGATAAAGGTACCAGGGGCATCTCATGGGGCCCCCTACTGACCCAGGGCCCTCGGGCAGTGCCCGAGTTTCCAAATGGCCAGTCCACCCCTGATCAAACCTAAAAGTGCCTGAAGAGCCAACCAGAGCTGAGAGGCCCAAACTGGGAGCAGCAATGACTGCATCTCTACACACCAGAGCATCATGGGAAGCAGAGGAGAGGGAGAAGTCATGTCGGTTAGCTTCCATGCATCTGTAGGTTAGGTGTGTGCAGGGGTGGACTGACAACTCATGGGGCCCCCGGGCAATAGGGGACCATGGGGCCCCTGTGTCCTTGCCCAAACTCAAAAAAGGTATCAGGGGCATCTCATGGGGCCTCCTACTGACCCCGGGCCCTCGGGCAGTGCCCCAGTTTCCAAATGGTCAGTCAGCCCCTGGGTGCGTGACTGAGCAACACCAGACCCACAATATTCATATGAGGAAAGAAAGCAATATTCATTTATTTATTTCCGGTACTTATATAGCGCCGTCAATTTACGCCGCGCTTTACATACAGTGGGGCAAAAAAGTATTTAGTCAGGTAAGTGGCTGTATTTTATACATCAGCAGATAGTTTTTGGAGTTGCTGACTTTTTTTTTTTCAGATGGAACTCTGCTTTAAGACTTCTTTTAACTTTTTGTATTTGTTGCCATCTTGTGCTCAGAAATGGTAATGCACCGTGAGACAGTTTTGTACCAGAATGCAACACAGTTGCATTCTGGTGATCATTTTTGGGATTTGGGATTTTTAGGATAAGCTTTTGGGGGCTTACACCCCCCCCCCTTTTCTCTGTGTCCAAGCATTGCTAATGCATAAAGGCTTAATAAAATGTTAAGAAAAAAATCTGCAATCAGATGAGTAGAGTACAGTAGAGCTTTGGAATGGGGGGGGGGGGGGGGGGGTAATAGTTGCCTAAAAAAATGTTCTCACATCGCAGTAATCTTGATTGGGTTAACAGGATCTTCATTCTTTTTTTTACTCTTTAGGAAGAGAGAAGCCAGGAGGCCCCACAGGACCCTGAAGGCCAATCTTCAGTTCTATTGTATCCCCGTCCATGGAGAACAGTCCGATTCCCTGTCTGATATGGTAAGATCGCCCTGTTTGTACCTTTACTAAGTCCATTTCCTATTAATTACCATACTTTGTACACAGTGCCGGGACAAGGTCACTTAGCAGTCACTCGCTTATCAAAATCCCTGCCGCAATCGCTTTTCCTATCAGCCTTGTAACAGAAGGAAGGCGCCTCCATCCCTACAGTAAACCTTTGCCCTCAGGGCAGCTGCCCTTCCCGCCCACCCCTTGTCCCAGCCCTGTTTGTACATCATATAACAAGCCTCAAAAATTGTTAACAACTACATAAGGGGGTCCCATCATCTAAAATGACTAAGAAGAAGCTAAAGGTAATGTAATGCCTATGAAATGTGTTGGCCTTGGACCAGGGGCGTAATGACCATTTAGTCACTTGGGCACTGCGCAAGGGCCCGGGGTCAGTAGGGGGCCCCATGAGATGCCCCTGGTACCTTTCATAGGCTTTTTTGGGTGTGGTTTGAGTGGGGGAGAGGACACAGGGGCCCCATTTTTTCCTTTTGCCCGGGGGCCCCATGAGTTGTCAGCCCACCCCTGCCTTGGACCCTTTGTTTCTTGGGTCATTTTATAATAAAGCGTTGTTGCCCAAATATCAGGGGCATGAGAGGTGACTGATGTGTCATGTCTCTAGGTCAAAGGAACAAAGTCACAAGATATTCTGCTGAGAGCAAGATAAAAAACTTGTTTATGGAATGAAACGTGTTTATGAACCTCACATTAGGAGATAAAAACCTGTTTAACCCCTTGCCTACCGGGCACTTATACCCCCTTCTTTACCAGGCCAATTTTCAGCTTTCAGCGCTGCTGCACTTTGATTGACAATTGCGCGGTCATGCAACATTATACCCATATGAAATTTTGATCATTTTTTTCTCACAAATAGAGCTTTCTTTTGGTGGTATTTAATCGCCACTGGGCGCTTTACTTTTTGCGCTATAAATAAAAAAAGTGCAAAAAATTTGAAAAAAAACAAAAGTTTATTTGTTTCTTTTATAAAATTTTTCAAAACAGGTATTTTTTCTCCTTCACTGATGTGCGTTGATGAGGCAGCACTGATGGGCACTGATAGGCGGCACTGATGGGCACTGATAGGCAGCACTAAAGGGCACTGATAGGCAGTACTAATGAGGTGGCACGGATAGGCGGCACTGATAGACAGCACTAATTAGGGGTCACGGATAGGCGGCACTGATATGCAGCACTGATAGGCGGCACTGATAGGCGACACTGATGATGGGTACTGATAGACGGCACTGACTGGCATCACTGCTGGGCACTGACTGGCGGCACTGACTGGCACAACCCCTGGGCACTGACTGGTGGCACTGACTGGCAGCACTGCTGGGCTGCACTGGTGGGTGGCACTGGTGGGCAGCACTGGTGGGTGGGCACAGGTGGGTGGCACTGGTGGGCACAGGTGGGTGGCACTTCTGGGCACAGGTAGGTGGCACTGCAGAGTGGCACAGGTGGGTGCACTGCTGGGCACAGGTGGGGGCACTGCTGGGCACAGGCGGGGGCACTGCTGGGCACGGGTAGGCGGAGCTAGTGGGCGCACTGCTAGGCGGAACTTGCAGGTGTCACTGCTGGGCACCGATCATCAGGGCACTGATCATCAGTGCCCTGATGATTGGTGCTGATCCCCGCTCTGACAACTGCCGGTTCTCGGCAGTACTTTCCTCACGATCTGACAGCGTGAGGAAAGTGCAGCCGAGAGCCGGCACTTGCATTTCCCTGTGATCAGTGTGTAATTGGACACCGCTGATCACGTGGTAAAAGGCCGCTGTGATTGGCCTTTTACCACATCATGTGATCAGCTGTGTCTGTAGGACACAGCGATCACAAAGATCGCCGGGTGCGCGCCCCCTGGGGCGCGCAGGAGAGCGCGTTCTGGGAGGACGTTATATGACGTCCACCCAGAACTGGCCGGCCGCGGTGAAGCCGTCATTCGGCTATGCGCGGTCGGCAAGAGGTTAAAGACGTCTAAGTTAGAAATACTTAAGTCTGGGGTAGATGAGAAGACGTTTTGGGGTAGATAAGAAGCAAAAGTGTGACTTTTCAGATAATGAATATTGTGGTTGAATGTGACTCTGTTATCCTCGCGGAACCCTTCTGTTAGCTACTCCTGTGGTGGGGTGTGGCGCCGCCAACTATTGGACAGCTTTGGTTTAAAAGGCCCCTCTCCATCCCTGACACTGGGATTTTTGCCAAGGCTATATGGGCTCATCGACTGGTCGTACCTACGGCTTCCCCGGGACCCCCCGGGCAGTTTGGTTCCGATGGGATTTGTTGCTCCCATAGCTTTGGTAATGTATTAATTCTATGTTGTGACGCAGCATTTTTCAGTTTATATAGTGAATGTTTGAGTTTGTAAAGAAGAATACAAACACTGCGATTTTTTTTCATTTTAATATTCACTTTTCTTCCATTTTTTTTAGAGGAACAACACAAATTTGATATATTGTTCTTCATGTTTTGATTTGGAATAGAATGTGTCGTGTTCCCAATGCATTTGTGTGGATGGAAATAAAAGCTATTAGAAGGATTTTGAGCTTTATTCGCTTTTTTCAACACACTGCTATTATTTTGAACACAACTGTATATAGCGCCATCAGTGTACGCAGCGCTTTACATATATATTGTACATTCACATCAGTCCCAGGGGCGTACAATCTAAGGTCCCTAACTCACATTCATACACATACTAGGGCCAATTTAGACAGGAGCCAATTCACCTTACCAGCATGTCTTTGGAGTGTGGGAGGAAACCCACGAAGGCACAGGGAAAACATGCAAACTCCAGGCAGGTGGTGCCGTGGTTGGGATTCAAACCAACGACCCTAGTACTGCCAGGCAGAAGTGCTAACCATTTAGCCACTGTGCTGTAATAGAGATGCTGGGTGCAATAACTAAAAGCAAGTCATATACACGCATACAATCAACATGTAGTCATGCAGGTACCTTTTAATCAGCATTTAAACCATTATATATTCTACGCATGTGAAAGACCATCCACCAAATGAACACCTGCCCTGGCACATCATAGCATTCACTCGGCACTCCAAGAAATAACAGAATCCAACTTCGATGTTCTTGCACTGTCAGAACCTCCACTTTTATTATCACACGACACACCGGAGGATATATCTGATAGTCATCACAATTTGTATAATAACACACCAATAAGAGTGTGAGCATTGCAGCATGAAATAGACACCTCATTTGACTGCGTCACAGCATAGACGTAATACATTACCAAAGCTATGGGAGCAACAAATCCCATCGGAACCAAACTGCCCGGGGGGTCACGGGGAAACCGTAGGTACGACCAGTCGATGAGCCCATATAGCCTTGGCAAAAAGTCCTCTGGCCACTAAGGGGTGGAGAGCTTCTTCTGGTCTCGTCTGGACCTCCGCCTTATAAACCAAAGCTGTCCAATAGTTGGCGGCCCCCACCCACCACAGGAGTAGCTAACAGAAGGGTTCCTTTTGATCAGCATTTAAACCATTACATATTCTACACAATAAAAATATATAATTGCTGTTAATGGGTACCGAGATATCCCAAAAACGGAGTGAATGGACTATTTCCCTTTAGCTTCTCCCTGTTTGCACATCATTGTTGCCTATTCTGTTCTTTCTACACATCGAATGCAAAATTGCTGTGCCAATTGCTAAATGACATTGCAATGACGATGCCCCTTTCTTACAGAAAGATGGTCTGCTCTTCATTTCAGGAGGAATCACCGAGTGAGATGCATGAACTGAGCAGGTACTTGGGTCAGGTGGACCCGTGGTATGACCGTAACATCAACACTCTCTGCAACAGGATCTCCAAGCTGGCGATGATGGTTAGTAGACTGGGAACAGCAAACTAATTGGGGGTTATTTACTACAAATACATGGTGCAAAATCTGGTGCAGCTCTGCATAGAAACCAATCAGCTTCCAGGTTTTATTGTCAAAGCTTAACTGAACAAGCTGAAGTTAGCAGCTGATTGGTGACTATACACAGCTCCACCAGATTCTGAGTGCTCCAGTTTTAATAAATCTCCCCCATTGCGGCATGCCCTAGTGCACATACCAGTGTCCATTACCGGCAATCAGATTCCAATTCTCATTTTGGAAGCCCAGGTTAGAAAATGGAAACTAATATTGGCTGCCCTAGGCAGGACCAATAAATTCTGCAGCACGTCAGAGAGGAACTAAAAGCAACCTAAAAGTCCCCAAAGTATAGGATTGGGGCTTGGCAGATCCGAGTGGACAGGTTACCACGGTGACCAGAAACCACATCCTGGTGTCTGGGTCCCCACCAGCCCACATTGCCCCATGCACACCCACCCTGTGTCCTCAGCTGGTTCCTCTCCTTTGCCCCACAGAGTGAAGCCCAGTCAAATATCCCAGGACCCCCAGAGTCCCCCCCATGTACAGAGTCCAGACAGAGCCCCCTGGTGCACACCTCTCCCAGGCAAAGACTCCTCCCTCCCCCGAACTCCCACACACACAGCCCCCCGGAGGACACCGCAGGCCGGATCCCCCACCACACAGCCACCGTTGGGTGCCAGCTCCTTAACAACTGGCTATTCAACAGCCGGAGCCCAAAAGCATCCTTCACAACCAGTGATAATGCCTCCTCCAGTACTTCCTTGGTGGTCAGCATGCTCCAGCTCCTCTTGTGCAGAAGCAATGTTACCATCAGATGGGGGAGGAGGCAGAAAGACAGCGAGTGGGACAGCCAGGAGCATTGAATCCCAGAAGGTGGGGGGAGGAGAGTGGGGTGGCCATACGAATATCCAGGGAACTCCCGCTCTACTGGTGACCACCATGGGGGGGGGAGAGGAAGGAGGGAGTGGGTGCACTCATTACATATCTGCTGATTGTTAAGATGTGCTATTCACTGGTTGCCAAGGACGCCGCCGGGTGCCCCCTCCTTAACATCCAACAGATTTTTGGCATGTCACCCACAAAATGCACCTAAAAATGCACCCTGGGTGCGTTTTAGTCCAATTCCCATGTAAGGTGCATCTTTGGTGTGTTTTTACTGCCCAATAATCCCAGACATGTTCTTTGCAGCCTGTATGTCCGACCAGAGACGCCGCATCGGATCCTTTCATCCTGGACGTCGCCTCGTACTACCTGAGGTTTGGGCTGCAGCCGGTGTACTTTCAAATATACAACGTGAAGGTTAGTACATCACACCATGTCACGCTCTGCACCATATTTGTAATTTTTTTTTTTTTTGGGGGGGGGGGGGTATAATTTATATCATATTGGAGGTACAGGAGGAAGAGATATAAAATTGTAAGCTATTTAATGTGTGCATGGAGCTGATTTTATGTTTCCATTAAGATCCGATGTTCTTTCAGATCCACTTCAGAGACCTGACGTTGGAGCCAGTGGAGGACGTCTTCCTGACGGAGCTGAAGGTGGAGATCCAGGACTGCGCCTTTACTAAGTGTAAGTGATGCCACGCTCTGCGACAAAGCTGGTTACAGAGAGCGGCCATAGACTGAAGCATCTGCCTGTCCTCGTTTGGTTTTTTAACTACCAGAAAACTACAGGTTGTAGACAAAATATGAAGGATTCCATTCCCAACCAACGCCTGAAAATGATATTTTCCTGGCTGCCTCTGGATTTCATACTTACATAGACCTGGACGCAGCTAGTGATATCAGAACCCCTGATCTGCATACATGTTCTAGGTCTGTGTATCAGAAAGCGCAGTCACCAAGCTGTCAAAGACAGTTCTCTGTCTCTGCTAATCAGCAGTAACTGGCAGGACGGGCTTCCGATCATGTGACCACTGTGGCAGCCAGTCACAGTGGTCACATGATTGGCCGACCCTTCCTGCCGCCAGCATCAAGACCCTATTAAAGAGATGCTGGGGCTCGGTAGGAAAGGGGCAACAGGGTCTCCTTAATGGGACTTTATAAAAGTGCTGTCTGGCACTAAAATCCGGGTAAAAATATATTGCCTAAATGCAAGAGTGACTGGTCTGGTCTCCGCCTCCTCCTGTAGTTTTCTGCAGGCAGCCTGTAGTGGGTGGAGCCTGCTGGGCCCCTCACACAGCTGTTCTCTGTCCTTGTGCAGGGTGACCGGTCTTGTCTCCGCCCTCTCCTGTAGTTTTCTACAGGCAGCCTGTAGTGGGTGGAGCCTGCTGGACCCCTCCCACAGCTCTGTTCTCTGTCCTTGTGCAGGGTGACTGGTCTTGTCTCTGCCCTCTCTTGTAGTTTTTTGCAGGCAGATTGTAGTGGGTGGAGCCTGCTGGGCCCCTCCCACAGCTCTGTTCTCTGTCTTTGTACAGGGCGACTGGTCTGGTCTCCGCCTCCTCCTGTAGTTTTCTGCAGGCAGCCTGTAGTGGGTGGAGCCTGCTGGACCCCTCCCACAGCTCTGTTCTCTGTCCTTGTGCAGGGTGACTGGTCTTGTCTTCACCCCCTCCTGTAGTTTTTTGCACACAGCCTGTTGTGGGTGGAGCCTGCTGGGCCCCTCCCACATCTCTGCGTTGTGCACAGGCTATGTACAGCACCATGATGATGTCACTGCTTTTACAAGGCAACAGAATTTTTTTTTCTCAGAGAATAGGTGCAGAAACTATCCCTTTCCGAGTCCTCTCGTCTCTGTTCCACACCTTCCCTTCATTCCACCCATGGGCGGACTGACCATTTGGAAACTTGGGCACTGCCTGAGGGCCCGGGGTCAGTAGGGGGCCCCATGAGATGCCCCTGGTACCTTTTTCATAGGCTTTTTTGAGTTTGGGCAAGGACACAGGGGCCCCATGATCCCCTATTGCCCGGGGGCCCCATGAGTAATCAGTCCGCCCCTGATTCCACCCCTTACCCACCTCCCAGTACCGCCCTTTTAGAGACTACAGAACCAAGTATCAATTTGTATGGAATTTGTTAATGATAACAAGAAAAGCAGTAAAAATAGATCCCCTGCAGCCAACAACAATAGAACCCCCCCCCCCCCCCAGCAACAATGGACCACCTGCAACAAAATACCCTTCCAACACCAATAGTCCCCCGGCAGCATCAACAGCTCTCCCCACGGCCCACCATCAATAGATTCTGCAACAGCTAGCAATGATAGACCCCCTCCTTCAACAGTAGATCCAACTCAGCAACAACTGACCCCATAGCAACATAAGACCCCCAGCAACAATAGATCCCCCACCATCAACAGTAGACCTCCCCAGCATCAATAGACCTTCTCCACAAAAAAGAGATCCCCTCCAGGAACCATAGATCCCCCAGCTGCCGGCATCAATGGACCCTGCAGTACATTCCACCGCCCCTTGCCATTACATGCATTCTGTGCTGGAGGTGCCCAAACTGCCTTACCGCTGAACAAAAAGCCCGGCAAGATAATATCTGGGTTTGCCAGGTCCTTGTTGCACACAATATGGATTTAGTTCCTTTGTGGACATAAGAAGTCAACAATGAGTTCCCTCACATTCCTGTTCTCACAGAATCTCTTTGACAAAAATATTCTTTGCTGATTTCTTTTTTTTTTCTCCTTCAATGTGTCCGAGTTGTCGTTGTAGTAAAAGTTTTCTTCATTTAGTGAACACAATAACCAGGAAGAAGACGGTGGTGGATTTTTCGTGGTGCTGGGATCCAGGTTCACTATAAAAAGGTAAACCACAGAGAGTCTACATCTCATAGTAGGATTTCTGATGTGAAGAGGGGTCTCTATTGTAAAGGGGGACCTCTGATGTGAAAGGGAGGATCTGATGTGAAGAAGGGTCTCTATTGTAAAGGGGGACCTCTGATGTGATGGGGGATTTCTGGTGTGAAGAGAGGTCCTCCACCATGAAAAGGGATGTGATAGGGAATGTCTAATGTGAAGGGGGGCCCTCTGATGTGAACGGGGGGCTCCAAATGTGATGGCGGGATCCCTGATGTGATGGGGGGACATCTGATGTGATGGGGGGACCTCTGATGTGATGGGGGGGATCTCTGATGTGATGAAGGGGATCTCTGATGTGATGGGGGGGATCTCTGATGTGATGGTGGGATCCCTGATGTGAAAGGGGGCCGTCACCTCTGATGTGAAGGGGGGCTCCAATGTGATGGGGCGATCTCTGATGTGATGGGGGCTTCTGATGTGAAGGGGGTCTCCAATGTGATGGGGGGCTCTAATGTGATGGGGGGGCTCTGATATAAAGGGGGATTGTCAGCTCTGATATGAAGGGAGGACCTCTGATGTTATCGGGGGGAGGGAACTGCTGATGTGAAGTTAATTTCGTCAAGATGGTTGTGTTCATCATCTCAGGCTCAGTTTTTCCATTGATAAGTAGCATTTACTTTTTTTAAATTTTAAACTAGAGGATTTACTTTTAAAGGGTGCTGCAACTGATAAAAGGTTGACAGATGCCAGTGTAGAGTCAGAAGTCTGTCCTGTCGGAGGAATAATCCTCTGGATCCTAATTACTGCCATGTCGGGAGATCGGATATAGTGAATGCGGGGTCCGGGGAGAGCAGATATAGTGAATGCGGGGTCCGGGGGAGAGCGGATATAGTGAATGCCGGGTCCGGGGAGAGCAGATATATAGTGAATGCAGGGTCCGGGGAGAGCGGATATAGTGAATGCGGGGTCCTGGGAGAGCGGATATAGTGAATGCAGGGTCCGGGGAGAGCAGATATAGTGAATGCGGGGTCCGGGGAGAGCGGATACAGTGAATGCGGGGTCCAGGGAGACCGGATATAGTGAATGCGGGGTCCAGGGAGAGCGGATATAGTGAATGCGGGGTCCGGGGAGACCAGATATAGTGAATACGGGATCCGGGGAGACCGGATATAGTGAATGCAGGGTCTGGGGAGACCGGATATAGTGAATGCAGGGTCTGGGGAGAGCGGATATAGTGAATGCAGGGTCCTGGGAGAGCGGATATAGTGAATGCAGGGTCCAGGGAGAGCGGATATAGTGAATGCGGGGTCCGGGGAGAGTGGATATAGTGAATGTGGGGGTCCGGGGAGAGCGGATATAGTGATTGCAGGGTCCGGGGAGAGCGGATATAGTAAATGCGGGGTCCGGGGGGAGACCAGATATAGTAAATGCGGGGTCTGGGGAGAGCAGATATAGTGAATGCGGGGTCCGGGGAGAGCGGATATAGTGAATGCAGGGTCCGGGGAGACCAGATATAGTAAATGCGGGGTCCGGGGAGACCAGATATAGTAAATGCGGGGTCCGGGGAGACCAGATATAGTAAATGCGGGGTCTGGGGAGAGCAGATATAGTGAATGCGGGGTCCGGGGAGAGTGGATATAGTGAATGCAGGGTCCGGGGAGACCAGATATAGTGAATGCGGGGTCCGGGGAGAGCGGATATAGTGAATGCAGGGTCCGGGGAGACCAGATATAGTGAATGCGGGGTCCGGGGGGAGAGCGGATATAGTGAATGCGGGGTCCGGGGAGAGAGGATATAGTGAATGCAGGGTCCGGGGTTTAGGAACGCTTTAATGTCATTTATGACAACGTTACACATACAGTATATGCGGCAGGAGGGTGGTCGGGCCTAAATGCTCAGCTGCTGCAAATATGTGTTGCTTTCTTGTTATGGGGCGTGCTCTACCAGCACCTCCCACAACTGTGTCCGAGCTGTCACCAACAGCTCGTGGTCAACTACTGACGATCAGGAGGCAGCAATTGGGGCTCCTAATGGTGTCAGCATTGCGCATCCAATCACAGGGCAGCAAGATCAGAAGCCCCGCCTATCAGCTCAACATATTCCTACTTTGATGAATAGGCAGGCGACACCAGAAGCCGTAAAAAGCTGAAACAGGAAATGTTTCAGCTTTTGGTGTCACCCTGTGGGAATAAAGTGAGTTATACGACATGCCAAACAAAATTACAAATATTGTGAAAAGGAAGAAAAATACAAATGTTTTTCAAATCTTGCAAAAAAAGATAAGACATCAGGGTGTGTTTTCTCCATAAACTGGGCCCCTAGAGGGCTGTTGGGTCCCCATAGCAAGGAGATGGTTTGCCAGGACCATTGTGTCAAACTTGATGACAGATCTGTGTATGTGCGTTTCTTGGATTGATGATCGTAAAACGTTTTTTTGTTGCAGGCTTTAGCCAGTAACCGGGGGAGGGATGCCTCTTTGGTGCTCAGAAGTGCTGGAGCCGTTATCAAAGCCATACCCAATAAAGACACTGAAGGTGAGATGACTTCCACACCCGGACCACATATAGACTATTTGCATCGGTTCCTGCAGGAGCTGACACTCTAATTCCTACCAAAGTCATGCAGACACATGGCAGGGAGACAGGTAAAGGTGATATAAACTCTCACTGGATCCCATAGACTTCAATGTAAAATCGAGTCCCAGTGACTTCAATGCAAAAATAACACCTAGTGACTTCAATGCAAAATCGCGTCCCATAGACTTCAATGTAAACTTGAGTCTGATAGACTTCAATGCAAAATGTCGTCTGATAGTCTTCAATGTAAATTCATTTGAGTGATTGGGGACATACAAACTCCATGTAGTGAGGCCTGGGGGCAGTTGAACCCAGAACCCCAACACAGCAAGACAAGCTAACAGCGCTTCTTTCTTGCAGACTTGGTTTGTCTGAACATCTGCACTGATGAGCCAATGAAATCCTTCTCTGGACGTTCAGGTTTGGTAAGTGTGACGCCAAGATAGGGGCGGATCCTTTTTTTTATTATAATAAGTAGGTGATTTGTAGCTGAACGCCGGGAACAGAAACGTTCAATTAAATATATTCCTTAACAGTCACACGGGTTTTATCACCTTGTAAAGGTAGCAGTGACACAGCCTGTGCAAAGAGCAGAGCTGTGGGAGGGGCCCAGCAGGCTCCACCCACTATAGGCTGCCTGCAGAAAACTACAAGGGGGGGGAGACCAGACCTGTCCCCCTGCACAAGGAGAGAGAGCAGCAGTGAGCGGTCTTTATGACAGGAAGTCTCACATTAGATTGCTGCACAGATCTGGAAGAAATACACAAAGCTCACCGAGATTCTAGAAGAATCAGCATGATAAATGGATTTAGATCAGGGGTCTCCGAACTGCGACTTGCGGACCAGATGTGGCCCTCTGTATGCCTTTACCTGGCCCTTTGGGCATTATGACTCCCACTGACACCAATGATGGGGCACTATTCCTCCCACTGATACCAATGATGGGGCACTATTCCTCCCACTGATACCAAATGATGGGACACTATTCCTCCCACTGAGACCAAGGATGGGGCACGATTCCTCCCACTGACACACCAATGATGGGGCACTATTCCTCTCACTGACACCAATGATGGGGCACTATTCCTCCCACTGACACCAATGATGGGGCACTATTCCTCCCACTGATACCAATGATGGGGCACTATTCCTCCCACTGACACCAATGATGGGGCACTATTCCTTCCACTGACACCAACGATGGGGCACTATTCCTTCCACTGACACCAACGATGGGGCACCATTCCTCCCACTGATACCAACGATGGGGCACTATTCCTCCCACTGACACCAATGATGGGGCACTATTCCTCCCACTGATACCAATGATGGGGCACTATTCCTCCCACTGAGACCAACGATGGGGCACTATTCCTCTCACTGACACCAATGATGGGGCACTATTCCTCCCACTGACACCAATGATGGGGCACTATTCCTGCCACTGATACCAATGATGGGGCACTATTCCTCCCACTGATACCAATGATGGGGCACCATTCCTCCCACTGACACCAATGATGGGGCACCATTCCTCCCACTGACACCAATGATGGGGCACCATTCCTCCCACTGATACCAATGATGGGGCACCATTCCTTCCACTGACACCAATGATGGGGCACTATTCCTTCCACTGACACCAACGATGGGGCATCATTCCTCCCACTGATACCAACGATGGGGCACTATTCCTCTCACTGACACCAACGATGGGGCACTATTCCTCCCACTGAAACCAATGATGGGTCACTATTCCTCCCACTGATACCAATGATGGGGCACTATTCCTCCCACTGATACCAATGATGGGGCACCATTCCTCCCACTGACACCAATGATGGGGCACTATTTCTCCCACTGACACCAATGATGGGGCACTATTCCTCCCACTGACACCAATGATGGGGCACTATTCCTCCCACTGACACCAATGATGGGGCACTATTCCTCCCACTGACACCAATGATGGGGCACTATTCCTCCCACTGACACCAATGATGGGGCACTATTCCTCCCACTGACACCAATGATGGGGCACTATTCCTCCCACTGATACCAATGATGGGACACTATTCCTCCCACTGATACCAATGATGGGGCACTATTCCTCCCACTGTTACCAAGTCATATATCATTTTTTGTACCCTCACTGACCAACAAGTCTATGGCATTTTTTCTACTCCCACTGCCCACATTCGGGGGCCAAATAATCTGGCCCCCACAAAATTTGAAGGGCAGTAAACTGGCCCTTTGTTTTTACAGTTTGGAGACCCCTGATTTATATGCCCCTGCATTCATGGGGAACTCGATATACCTATGAAACAAAAAGCCTAAGGGCCATTTCACACTAGATGCAGTTCAGTGCGCTTCTTTTCTGCATCACAAATGCATGCAGAGTGTTTTCCATGTATTCCAATGGCCCTAGATCACGCCAGTGCAGTCAGTTTCCAGTTCAGAAAAGAAAAGTAGAACATGCTGCATTTTACAGAACCGTACTGAACATAGGAAATTGCATCAAAACTGCATTGGAACTGCATGTGATGTGAACTGTAAGGAAAAACATATCCGGAATGCATCCGAAGTGCATTTTTGTAGTGTGAACTGACCCTAAAAGATTTCTAAACTATATTAAATCACCTTGTAATGGAACCGACCCAGTCTGCGCTTGGGTACTTCCGTTAGACTACCGCTTCCCCGTCCGAATACCGGCAACGGACACCACCACTGACCATACAAGACTAGACGACACCAGTCTGGAAGTAAACCAGGAGGTAGGCTAGTTTGAGAGACACACCAGCAGACAGTCCCATCAGGAGGGAGGGCTGCTGGAGACACCCCCTGTCACGGGTTACCCACACACCACGCCTACAGGGACTAGCTAACCGAGGCGTGTGCACGTGCGGCCGTGACTTGGGGTAAGAGGGAATAAAGGGGACTTAACTTTGAATATATAAAACCGTATATAAGACCAGCAGTGATGTACTTCCACAGCCCGCACTACTTTTTGCCCACCACCGGAAGCAGACTCCACTCCAATCCAGATGGCTGACCACACACACTGGCAGATACAAATCTTACATACAATCTGGTGCACTGATTAGAGTTGAGGAGCAGCTTAGTAATCACACACCCTTCTAGGATCCCTCCAGCTATCCTACAGCTAGAACCCCGGTGTTAATCACTCTTCCACTGTCCACACAACCCCACACCAGACACACCACAAAAGGTAGCCTGCCACCACCCAACAGTTTATCCGCAAAACGGTCTGTTGAGACACCACACACACACACAGATCTCCCTCTGGCAGATCTGTTACCTTTTACAATCTTCACACAATCTGTCCACACGCAGTGCAATTGCATACAGATTGGCAATGAGCTTGACCGAGCGTTTAAAGGCACTAACATACAATACAATCTAATCTCTCCAATCTAATCTCTCCAGAGATATGAGCCCGAGCTTAAATACACAGAAGTCACTAATTAATTTTAAGATTTAATATCCCGAAAGTGGGCGGTGCATAAAATATGTACAAAATATAAAAAGTTACAGAAATACAAAAACTACAAGAAGACACACAAATGACTAATCACTATAAAATAAAAGGGAATAAAAAAACAGAATAAAACTTTTACCAAGACTTATCCTGCAACTGGAGCAAGTCAGAGAGTTCGCAATCCGTCAGTCAAATAGAACTGGCTCCATACGAATTACCCTGTCCCAATGTCCGGGTACTCAATTTACAGGGATGTGGACATAGGCGGGACATTAGTCCTCAGCCAATTGACCCTGGGGGTGTTCCTGTACCCACCCACAGGATGTTCTGGGTGCTGACCTGCCCAAGTTCAATCGGACCAAGACCGGCTTGAATCACGAAGTCAGGGATTGGATTTCCAACACCAACGCATCAGTCCGATCGCGACAGTACCAATCACTGTTCGACTGTCACAATCCAGCGCCACCTAACCATTTCCTGCATTTTTCTGGCCTTCTACCTAAGCTGAAAATATGTTTTTTATATGTCGGTGTGACCCACAGAGTGCCCTATCAGAGGGAAGTATTTTCATCTCTCTGCAACTAATATTTTAGCTTTTCTGAGAGATGACACATTTCCTTTGATGTATGTATATTCTTTTAGAGCTCCCCAGACATATCAGAGACCCCCTGGTGTCATGAAGCCGAAATGTCTGAGTTTCTCTTTTCAGCTTCAGGAAGGTGGCCAAGTCTGATTATGTATAGGTGACAAAATCTTATTAGCACCCAGGTGCCACTTCCAGCCTGAGGAAGCTGCTCTGTCTCTTTTCAGATGTTAATTGATGACCATCAGTCTGAGTACCTACAGTATGACTGAATATTCTTTTAATAACAAGGAATGAACAAGATTTACATTGTCATATTCTCTACAGGTCACATCTTATCTACTTAAATCTGGACATTCATGTCACATGTATGTCACCCCCCCCCCCCCAAGCCAATACACATAAACACATACATTCCATAATAGTTTGCTCCCAAGCAAGACACACAATTGAACAATGGGATGCAACCACATAACACCAAACAATCTACAACCCCCACCCCACCTAAAGAGGTCTACACAATATTAGGACAGATCACCCTGTACCCCTAGCGGGAACAGGATGACTTACACATCAGAGGGATATGGGGAGCTGAGACAGGGATCTCCCCACCTCTCCAAAGTGAGCTGTGTTCCATGGGCCCCCCACCCAAAGTGACTCCCGTCACACAGCTATAATCCATTTTCATATTGATTTCCCTCTGCAAGCTAAAATCAGACTGGCAATGGGAATGTCCTCACTGGCTGCTGAAATAGTAGTCAGAGATCAGGGTGAGTACAACAATCTGATCTCTGTCCAGGGCAGGAAGTGAGATCTGATTCCTCAAGGCAAACCTCTGTAAGATTGTGGATTATGTGGGTCATTTATGAAAGGTCGTCATACTGGTGGCATCATTTGGCAATCTTAGAATTTTGATTATAAGGAAAATTTGTTTTCAGATTTGGCCAGCTTGAGGCCAATTTTTTCTGAAAGTGATGGTTGGTGACGTCATGCAGCTGAAGTCATGATGTCACGGTCCTCTATTACAGGGTAACAGCGAGGGGCTGAAGGCGTCCAGCGTACAGATGAGGAGCCTGGAGCTGAGGACTCTGAGCCTTCAGATGGACAAGGACAGTCGAAGGACTTACAGCAACGTCTCTAGGTGAGAGAAAATATTGTGAAAATGAGAACCTCGTATTTGTCGTATATATTATGAACACAGGCCGTTATCAACTGTCATTTAATCACAGCAATGGCTGCTGGCTGATACAGATACGGAAAACTGAGTTCAAAAATGGGAGTATTGTATGGTATTTGTGAAATTTACATTTAAAATAATTAGGCCTTGTGCGCACTGGACATTTTTGGCTGTTTTTGGCATCAGGCGTTTTTTTTCTGCAGCCAGTAAACTACCCAGCATGTTATCCTATGTGTCCATGCACACATAGGCTTTTATCAGTGTTTTTTGGCAGGGGCATTTTCTGGCTGGAAAGTAAAAACCCACAACTACTGCGTTTGAAGGGAAGTTTTTCAGCTGTAAAAACGTTCTAATGCTGAAAAATGCGGCTATCTGGCGTTTATGAGCATTTTTGAGACTCTCTTTTTTTTAAAACAACATTTTTGGACGCTGCCATTTTTCTACAATAAATTCCTACATTTCCCAGTGTGCTTTGCTGCAATTGCTTTCATTATCTAACCCAGGGGTGAGCAAACGTTTTGACTTGAGGGCCGCAATGGGTTCATATATTGGACCCGGGGGCCGGACCAAGAGTAGATGAATGATGTGTATGTGTCATCCATAGTAAGTATAGTAATATTCCCCCATAGTAAGCATAGTAATTAATCCCCCATATAGTAATTCATCCCCCATATAGTAATTCATCCCCCATATAGTAATTCATCCCCCATAGTAATTCATCCCCCATAGTAATTCATCCCCCATATAGTAATTCATCCCCCCTATAGTAATTCATCCCCCATAGTAATTCATCCCCCATAGTAATTCATCCCCCATATAGTAATTCATCCCCCATAGTAATTCATCCCCCATATAGTAATTCATCCCCCATAGTAATTCATCCCCCATATAGTAATTCATCCCCCATATAGTAATTCATCCCCCATAGTAATTCATCCCCCATATAGTAATTCATCCCCCATATAGTAATTCATCCCCCATAGTAATTCATCCCCCATATAGTAATTCATCCCCCATATTAATTCATCCCTCATACAGTATTTCATCCCCCATAGTACTATTCCCCCCCAAGTAGTAAGCCAAGTCCCCCCCTGTGTCAATTCACTTACCTTTGCTCCGCACGTTCCTCTCGCCGTGTTCCCGCGCCGTTCCGGTCTTCAGGGCGGACTGTGAGAGGAGCCTAGCTCCCCTCACGTTCTTCACACTGCCCCGCCTACACACATCCTGACACGTCCGCGGGCCGGATTAAAAGGTCCGCCGGGCCGTAGTTTGCCCATTGCTGATCTAACCTATGCTGTGTGCAAACAGGAACATTTCCCAATGTGCTTTTCTGCCTCATTGTCTCAGCTGACTGAACTGTGTGCAAACAGGAAACTCCTTTTACGGACATTTCCCAATGTTCTCTGCAGCTACATTGTCTCAGTTAGTAAAACTGTGTGCAAACAGGAAATTCCTTTTATGGACATATGGAGGATACACGACAGGAAATCAAAGGAGGGGTCCAGAATCGTTGTGGACTGCTGCTTCTCACCTCCAGCTGTCTCGGTCTCCTCACCATCCTTAACAGAATCAGTAGCATAGCCTCATCAGTTCTGCATTACAGGATCCATAATGGATGCAGCAAGAAAAAGAAAGATAGCTCCTGAACAACACGGTGCTCTCTCTGCTCTGAAAAAGGCGGCTAAACAACTGCACAATGACTATTTAGGGATGCATTGTGGGAAAGTGGGAGTTAAAAAAAGCAACGAGGCTAACGAGGCGAAACGGTAATGAAAAAAGCAGCAAACGCTGGAAAACTCGCATTTTTAACGTGACAACGCTACTGCCATTTTTATAGCATCCAGTGTGCATGAGGCCTAAAAGCGCTAGTAAACCACCCCAAGAAAAATGTAAAGTTTAACCACCTCCCGTCCGGCCGTTGTATATAAATGGCTGGACGGTGGCATTGCAGGGTCAGGTGGCCGTTTAAAAACGGCCTCCCCGCCCCCTGCTTGTGCGCTTTCCCTGGGAGCGCACAGCACTGCGATCTGGTGCCCACTGTGTCCTCCAGACACAGTGGAACACCGATCGCCGTACGGGACCTCTGTGTGAGGTCCCGATCATGTGATCACTGATTGGCCAATCAGTGATCACATGTAGAGTAGTAAGCAAGATGTCACTTCTGACATCATTGCTTACTATGTGTGAAATCTGTGAATGATCACAGAGATCACATGGTACAAGGCTATTCACAACAGCCTTGTACCATGTGACAAGCTGTGACCAATCACAGCTCACACAGTAGTTCTCAATGGCTGCGAGAATGCAGCCAGCGAGAAGGAGAAATGATTGATTTTACAGCCTTTATGGGTGTAAAAGCAATCAGTGTAAAAAAAAAAAAAAATCTTCATTACCCCCACAAGTAGTACAGTGTCACCATGGTGACACTGTACTGCTAGGGTGACAGTATGTAAAAAAAAAAAAAAAATATATAAAAAAATAAAATAAAAATGTTTAAAAAATTATAATTTTTGGTTATAAACTAATTTGGGTTATTTTTTTTTTTGCTAAAAAGATAACGGAATAAATTTTGGCCAAGATTTATGATGAAATATTATTTATTTGCAAAAAACAGAAAAACATTTTTTTTCAACATTTTTGGACTTTTTAATTTACATAGCAAAAAAAATAAAAATCCCATCGGTGAATAAATACCACCAAAATAAAGTTTTATCTGTCTCAAAAAAAATGCTAAAAAATTCATATGAGTACAGTGTTGCATGACCGCGCAATTGTCATTCAAAGTGTGATAGCGCTGAAAGCTGAAAATTGGCCTGGACAGGAAGGGGGTGAAAGTGTCCGGACTGGAAGGGGGGGAAAGTGTCCGGACTGGAAGGGGGGGAAAGTGTCCGGACTGGAAGGGGGGGAAAGTGTCCGGACTGGAAGGGGGTGAAAGTGTCCGGACTGGAAGGGGGTGAAAGTGTCCGGACTGGAAGGGGGTGAAAGTGTCCGGACAGGAAGGGGGTGAAAGTGTCCGGACAGGAAGGGGGTGAAAGTGTCCGGACTGGAAGGGGGGGGGAAAGTGTCCGGACTGGAAGGGGGTGAAAGTGTCCGGACAGGAAGGGGGTGAAAGTGTCCGGACAGGAAGGGGGTGAAAGTGTCCGGACTGGAAGGGGGGGAAAGTGTCCGGACTGGAAGGGGGGGGAAAGTGTCCGGACTGGAAGGGGGGGAAAGTGTCCGGACTGGAAGGGGGGGAAAGTGTCCGGACAGGAAGGGGGTGAAAGTGTCCGGACTGGAAGGGGGTGAAAGAAAGTTCCGGACTGGAAGGGGGTGAAAGTGTCCGGACTGGAAGGGGGGGAAAGTGTCCGGACTGGAAGGGGGGGAAAGTGTCCGGACTGGAAGGGGGGGAAAGTGTCCGGACAGGAAGGGGGTGAAAGTGTCCGGACTGGAAGGGGGTGAAAGTGTCCGGACTGGAAGGGGGTGAAAGTGTCCGGACTGGAAGGGGGGGAAAGTGTCCGGACTGGAAGGGGGGGGGAAAGCGTCCGGACTGGAAGGGGGGGAAAGCGTCCGGACTGGAAGGGGGGGAAAGCGTCCGGACTGGAAGGGGGGGAAAGCGTCCGGACTGGAAGGGGGGGAAAGCGTCCGGACTGGAAGGGGGTGAAAGCGTCCGGACTGGAAGGGGGGGAAAGCATCCGGACTGGAAGGGGGGGGAAAGTGTCCGGACTTGAAGTGGTTAACTAAAGGCAAAACCTTTTTTTTTTTTTTTTTAAGAAAAGGGAATGATCTTTGTTTTAAAAGTGAACCTATCCTTTAAGGCAAGTTGGCCTACTGACACTAGGTTGCCCCAAGGCCTAACATCCCAGGCTTCATACATTGGCTGTAATCTACAAATATATGTTGCGCTCCTAAATACTTCTCAATAAATAATAATTCAATTATTACCATTAAATTAATTCAAATTATGATACAAATAACTAATAAAAGTGTATAAATACCAAAAAATATTTAAATAGATAGTTTCAACTAATCAATCTCCTCCAAATAAATATCAAAATAATTCCACATGAAATAAACAATTGTTTATTCAATGGGACTATTATTTTGATGATATTTGGATTCATACTAATCACTATTAATTATTTATGAGCATTTGGTTATTTTTATTTATGGGGGATCATCTAAATGCGTTTTAGTTGAGGGTTATTAGTTGGTTTACTATTTTTATTATATTAAATGAGGGTATTATGAATATAAATGAAATTGAGGGTATTAGTAAGTACATCATGTCACTAATAGATGATTTATGAGCACTTGGTAAAAACATTTTTTAGAGGAGTATTTCATGTGGAATTATTTTGATATTTATTTGGAGGAGATTGATTAGTTGAAACTATCTATTTAAATATTTTTTGGTATTTATACACTTTTATTAGTTATTTGTATCATAATTTGAATTAATTTAATGGTAATAATTTAATTATTATTTATTGAGAAGTATTTAGGAGCGCAACATATATTTGTAGATATTTCCAACACAGTTGTAGTTATGTGTTTCATGTTTGCGATCCTCTAGTAATTATTACACCTGTGGCTCGCAAGTTACTCTGATTCATCTATACACATTGGCTGTAATGTTACAAGTAGACTCAAGTTATAAAAAGGGAAGATGTATCCTGCAGCAATGAAGGTGCACAAAGATGGTGGGGATTCCAGTGGAGCAAGGACCAGTGACAGGCAGCAGGCGTAATCCATAGAGTTGGAGAGGGGGATGCATTGGGCACTTCTGGATTGTAAAGACCTCTTGGGTATCATAGTCCTCTAGGCCATCATGCGATACATCAACCTAGCAGGTTGGGGAAGTCTAGTATGCACTTCTTGAAGAAAGAAGCAAAACTCTAGCAGAACATAGTATGTACTGTGTAATCCATAGAATGCCTGTTTTTTGGGATTTTTTTTGCTGTACAGCATTTGGCTCACAGTTGCAGCATGGGCTGTGCCATGTATATGACCATCCTGGTTGCCTTGTTAGGCTTTCAGTGAGCAGTCAGTGGGTGGTAAAAAAGCAGCTTTTTTTTTTTCTCCTTGGAATGAGGTCTTGGTCATCAAGAGCCATATCATAAACAGAGGAACCGGCTGGTGAGGTTAATATAAGGTGCCTACCAGGGGCGGACTGACAACTCATGGGGCCCCCGGGCAATAGGGGATCATGGGGCCCCTGTGTCCTTGTCCAAACTCAAAAACGCCTATGAAAAAAGGTACCAAGGGCATCTCGTGGGGCCCCCTACTGACCCCGGGGCCTCGGGCAGTGCCCAAGTTTCCAAATGGTCAGTCCGCCCCTGGTGCCTACTGTTCAAGGGCCAGTCCCAGGGTCAGTGTGCCAAAACTGGTTCCCCAGTAACTGTTGAAGGAGCTGGAAAAGGTACAGGGAAGCAAGGAGTAAATGATAGGGAGAAATCAGTCCAGCAACCAGGACACAAGCTGGCAAGAGGAGGAGCGGCATGGTGTCCTTTTGCCCAACAAATGGGAAGCAAGCTGGTTTGGGGAGCAGAAAACACCCGTGTCCCGTTGCCTGCCAAATGGAACGCAATGACAGTAGGCAACAGGGGCAGAGAGGTAAATATGCGAGCCTCCTAACAACACCAAGAAAAGTGCTTTGGCTGTAGTTCCATTTAAAGTTCCTCTGCCAGTCTCCTCCCTTGTGTGCAGCAAATGAACTAATGAGAGAAAAGAAGGGATCCTTACAGATGAAGACTTCCAATATTGTAATAAAATTACCTTCTTTACATGCTCAAAATTTAACTAAAATTTGGTCTTAAAAGTGTAGTTTCCTAAAATAACGTACCTAAAAAAAATGTTTTATTTATTTTTTTGCAGCTTTGAGGTCACCCCCTGCCAGGAGCCTGGATACAGCTTACAGAAGATAAGGACGTCCCGCGGCCAGGGGGATTGGAAGGAAGATGGCGGTCTGAGCAAATACATGACAAAATCTCTGCTGCTCCCAATAAATACATTTGCCGGTATTATCCAGTGATGTCAGGTGGTACACGACTCTCCAAACCAATGGACTATCGATGACTCCACTTCCATCTCTTGGTTCATGAACTAAGCTGCCCACAATGAATGAGCCTTTCCTCTTAAAGAGATATTTTAATTGTAGGCAGAGTCACGTGATAATCGCTGTCCGCGTATAACCCTCGTGGCCCTCAATGGCGAGTTCTGCTTTACATCGATCTCCTCCAACCTTGAGGTGTTCCCCTATTGCATCGTGCCTACTATAAATTAAACAGGGAATGCAGCTGAGATAGCGGGAGCTCCTGGTGTGCAGATCTGGGAACTGAGTGCAGCGATCCCCCCAGAACAACCCCTGAGAGATATAAGAATCCATCAAGTGGTTATAATCTCCTTTGTCTACCAAAAGCCAAAATATCCGATCCAGACTAAGAGACTCTAAACTGACAGCACACTGATGTATGAGGAGCGGTGCTAACAAGAGGACATGTCTAAAACATATGTACACTGGAGCCAAACTCACGTCAAGTGTTTGTACATCTGAGCTTTACACGCTCTGGTTGGACCTGTAGAAGAAGAAGGAAGTTGGTTACATTCCGAGGTATTCCAATGCTGACAATCTTTATTGAACAAAGCAAGCAGAGCCTGGGGTCTCATTCAATTATGTGTTTTACCCAGGGGCGGACTGACCATTCGAGCACTCGGGCACTGCCCCAGGGCCCGGGGTCAGTAGGGGGCCCCATGAGATGCCCCTGGTACCTATCATTGGCTTTTTCATAGGCTTTTTTGGGTGTGGGCGAGGACACAGGGGCCCCATTATCCCCTATTGCCCTGGGGGCCCCATGAGTTGTCAGTCCGCCCCTTGTTTCACCCACAGACTTGGGCTTAATCAATGATCCAACGCGAACTGAGAGCGCCCTTCCTAGGTCTTCTGATGAATTTACCCACAAATTTAGGACTGATCATTGAGCTGTACAAAGTGAACAGAGTGCCTGCCTGGGTCAGCTAATGCATTTCACCAACAAACCTGGGACTGATTTGTTGGTCCGGACAAAGTGAACAGAGAGTTCCGGCCTGAGACCTCTAATGACGCGTTTAACCCACAAACTTAGGACCGATCGTTCCTCCAGACAAAGTGAACAGAGTAAACACAGCAAATACTTTCCTCCTGCGCTGGGGATGGACTCAGCAGAGGCTAGGATGACAATGTAAATGTTCTGGAATATGCACTGCTTGCTGCCCTCAATGGACCGGGGTAGTCCAAAGTCACTGAATGCAAAAGAAAAAACAAAAAAGAGGGGCCTAGTACATTATCATTTAAAATATTTATTGAAAGAATAAAAAAGTAGATATCATACTCACAATGGACATATAAAACACAGGAACATCACAATGAACAAAGGTGTTCAATCCATATAGCATCTGAGTCCACAATGATGGAAACCTGGATGACCAACTGGCCAACGCATTCCGAGGACTCAGCCTCTTCCTCAGAGCCCGTTCGAGGACTCAGCCTCTTCCTCAGAGCCCGGTCGAGGACTCAGCCTCTTCCTCAGAGGGCTCTGAAGAAGAGGCTGAGTCCTTGAAACGTGTCATCCAGGGTTCCATCATTGTGGACTATATGTATTGAACACCTTTGTTCATTGTGATGTGCCTGTGTTTTATATGTCCATTGTGAGTATGATGCCTATTTTTTTTATTCTTTCAATAAATATTTTAAACGATAATGCATTAGGCCGGTGCGCCCTCTTTTTCTTTTTCTTTTGCATAAGGTGAACAGAGTCCCTGTCTGGAGCCTCCTGCTGATGCGTCTCATCCACAAACTTGGGCCTAATCATTGATCTGTATAAAGTGGACCAAGCGTGCTCACCTGGGTCTTCTAGTGCATTTCACCCAAAAACCTGAGACTGATCATTGATGTGGACAGAGAATCCCTGCCTGGGACCTTCTCCACTGAAGCATTCCACCCACAAACTTGGGCTTAATCGCTGATCAGGACAAAGCAAACAGAGTCCTTGCTCTCCCCAAACTGCCCCCCCTACCTCACCCCGGGCCTCCTCCATTGGCATGTTTCATCCACAAACTTGGGCCTAATCATTGACCCGGACAAAGTATACCGAGAGTCCCCACAAGGGACCCCCTCCACTGACCTGTTTCACCCACAACTTGGGACAAATCATAGATTCAGACAAAGAGAACAGAAAGTCACTACCAGAGACCTCCTCCACTAACACGTTTTACCCACATACTTGGACCTAATCCAGACGTTCACCTGATTTTGTTCATTTTGTCTGGATATTTGATTAGGCCCAAGTTCGTAGGTGAAATGCACCAGTAAATAAGGTCTCAGGTCTGGGCTCTTTGTTTTTTTTTGTCTGGGTAAATGATTAAGCCCAAGTTTTTGAGTGAATCGCACCAGTGAAGGCGGTCTCATGTGGAGATTCTGTTTGCTTTGTCCAGATCAATGATTAAGCCCACGTTTGTGGGTGAAATGCATCTGAGAGGGAGGAGGACCCAGGCATGGTCCCTCTGTTCGCTTTGCCCTGGTAAACAATTAAGCCCAACTTTGTGGAAAAAGCTCATCAGCGAGGCGGTCCCAGGCGGGGATTCCCTGTTCATTTTGTCCCAATCAATAAAGATTGTCAGTGTTTGAATCCTTTGGCGTGTAGCCAACTTCCTTCTTCTTTGACGCATTTCACCCACAAACTGGACAAGTCCAAAGAAGAAGGAAGTTGGCTACACTCCAAAGAATTCAAACACTGACAATCTTTATTGAACCAGACAAAGTGAACAGAGAATCCCCACCTGGGATCACCTTAATGCGCTTCTTCCACAAAGGTAACCCTAATTGTTGACCAGGGCAAAGTGAACCGAAAGACCATTCCTGGGTCCTTCTTCCTCTTTGACGCATTTCACCCATAAACTGGACAAGTCCAAACAGGAAGCAGGACCCAGGAATGGCCTTTGGGTTCACTTTGCCCTGGTCAACAATTAGGGTTAGCTTTGTGGAAGAAGCGCATTAACGAGGTGATCCCAGGTGGGGATTCTCTGTTCACTTTGTCCAGTTCAATAAAGATTGCCAGTGTTTGAATTCTTCAGAGTGTAGCCAACTTTCTTCCTGTTTGGACTTGTCCAGTGTGTGGGATGAGCCCCTGCTGGCCTCCAGCACCAGGCTTGGGAGCAGCACCTTCCACTGTGATTGGACCTGGCTGACGTTCAGTCTGATTGCCACCAACCACCTCACTTTTCTGTACAAACATTACTGAGTCTCTGGCAAAAACTAAAAAAAACTTGTTTGTTATAACAGATTATAGCTTCTATTTATTTATTATAATTGCTGTAAAAATAAAACTTTGGGAGCATCGCGCATGGTTTGTTATTGGAGCAAGCTGAAACAATGTACATTCTTAGATGTGACAGCTGCATTAGTTTTCTTTTTTCAGGCAGAAGTACGTCTTCTTCAAGTACAGAACAACAATATGGCCTCATCCACACAGACGTTTGGTGTTTTTTGTCTGCCTGTAAACATACTTCTATATTAGCCTAGATGTCGATGTACACACAAGCGTTTACAGGAGTATTAAAAGAGGAGCTTTTACAGACAGAAACAAAAAAAAAAATGCACCACCAACTGTTGAAAAAACACCGAATGTGCCCAAATGATAGATGCATTCATTCATGCCAACAACCAGAAAAAATTAATATTTATGTGCAGCACAGTGGCTAAATGGTTAGAACTTCCGCCTGGCAGTACTCGGGTCGTTGGTTCAAATCCCAACCACGGCACCTCCTGCGCCTCTGGTCTGAAAGAAAAAGCGGAAGCTTTGAAACGCGTCACCTGATTCATCACCTGACCTCGCATCCCTACTGGTTGCCGCTCGTTCCCCCCAACTCAATATATGAACAGGGCCTTAGGGCTTTTTCTCCACGGGCAGCGGTAAAAATAGGTGGTTGAACAGCAGCCAGACAGGGTTGTACACATGTATGATGCTTTGCTTAGCGGGAACAGCAAAAGTTATACTCCGTGTTGCATGTGGCGGGCAGTGAATTGGGCCGTCCCACAACTGCAATGCATAGAGTGTGGTGTGGTGGGTCAGCCTTCTAAGGGGTATAACAGGTGGGGAGGAGGCAACGTATCTCCACCTCACAACGTGTTGGGATGAGAACTCCATCTACCTCCCAGCATAGCCATAAACCCTCTCTTACAGCCGGATTTCACAATAAGTTACTCATTCTACAACAGGGGTCTCCAAACTTCCTATGCAAAGGGCCAAACCACTTTCATTCAGATTTTGGGGGGGGGCAAACTGTGGCCAGTGGGAGTAAACGTTGGCTGAAGGAAAATTATATAGCCTGGGGTCAGTAGGAGAAGGAATAGTGCCCCATCATTGGTATCAGTGGGAGGAATAGTGCCCCATCATTGGTATCAGTGGGAAGAATAGTGCCCCATCATTGGTGTCAGTGGAGGAATAGTGCCCCATCAATGGTGTCAGTGGGAGGAATAGTGCCCCATCATTGGTACTGGTGGGAGGAATAGTGCCCCATCATTGGTACTGGTGGGAGGAATAGTGTCCCATCATTGGTGTCAGTGGGAGGAATAGTGCCCCATCATTGGTATCAGTGGGAGGAATAGTGCCCCATCATTGGTGTCAGTGGGAGGAATGGTGCTGCATTGCAAGGTATAGTGCCCCATCATTGGTGTCAGTGGGAGGAATAATGCCCCATCATTGGTGTCAGTGGGAGGAATAGTGCCCCATCATTGGTATCAGTGGGAGGAATGGTGCTGCATTGCAAGGTATAGTGCCCCATCATTGGTGTCAGTGGGAGGAATAATGCCCCATCATTGGTGTCAGTGGGAGGAATAGTGCCCCATCATTGGTGTCAGTGGGAGGAATGGTGCCCCATCATTGGTATCAGTGGGAGGAATAGTGCCCCATCATTGGTATCAGTGGGAGGAATAGTGCCCCATCATTGGTATCAGTGGGAGGAATAGTGCCCCATCATTGGTATCAGTGGGAGGAA